GGTCTTGGGCTTTCCCAATGGCCTTTTCTTCCTCTTCTGGCTAGTGGTCAGAGGCCAGGAAGGCAGCAGCAGAAGTTTCAGGAGACCCAGATTTAAGTTACATCAGATCTCCCTGGAGAGACCACATGTAATGGTTTGGGCTGTTCGGCTGCTGACCACTGCTTCAGGGGCCTTGAATAGTGTTTCCGAGCAGAAAACACTTTGGGGAGCCTATGAAAAGCCACGCACAACTGCTCTGTCAACACCAGGCGGCCAAGGAAAACCACAATTGTGTAATTAGTCTACGCAATGCTGGTGGCAAATCACTGCCTCTGTTTTACTGGATTACAGAAAGACAATCCAAGCCCTACCTAGAAGCTGAGCTGCATTCAGCTCTCATGTCCAATGAACCATTTTCCCCAGGGGTGTAATTTTTCTACTGAAACATTTCAAGCAGGACAGCCTTACTGTAAACTCCTTCAAATTGAAATAAAGGAGATTCTCCCGATATAACCTACTCCAACAATTTTTCACGAGCGTACTGATTTCTGACACAGTGATGCTCGAGAAACTGCATACACTCTGTGGGCTGTACCACTTTAATTGTACTGGCATCAAACCAGTACATTTTATACAGCAAAGTGTATTTTAAACAGTACAAATGTTCTGACCACAAAAATCCCTCATCCTTCATGAACGGCACAACCGGGCTCAGAAGCAGACGCAAAGGGGCATCCAGATTCCTCAGCCACGGGGGCCCACAGAGAAGTGTAACACCGGAGGCTTTTCACCTGAGCAGACCTCTCAGGCACGGCTGCAGCAGCACAGAGCCGGTGGTGTCTGAGAGCAGGTCCCTTTGTGCTCCCTGTGCTCATCATCTGCTTTGGATTTGTAATTACTCAGGAAAACCAACAACAAAACCAAACAAAAAAATACCGCAGCCGCACACGCCCCCCCGTATGTACAGTCACCACCAAATCACCCCCTGCATACAAAACACCACACTTCACCCAGGCTTCCTCCTCACAGGCAAAGGCCAGACGGATCAACAAGCCTTACAGGAGAAGTGTGGCTCTTGGCAAATCCAGCCCGTGAGTGCAGCAGCAGAGAAACATTCTTGACATTTTCTCATGTTCAGGCTGGGACAGGGGAGGGTTTTTCTTGGAGCAGAGGTGGATTTAATTCCCTTTCCCATCTCCTTCCTCTCCAAATTATGATGTACCGAATCCTGGTTTTATTCTGAATTAGGAAGGCACTGGGAAAAAAATGCTTCTGTAACAAAAAGTTCTAGGAAAATTTATTTTGGACATTGTGTTTCAGTGAGTCAGAACTGAAGCGAGTAATTTTGGCTCCAAGTTATTTACAGTGAAGCTACAGTGCCAAGGTTCCCCCCTGCCCTCCCCCTTCCCGTGATGTAGCTCTCCTGCCAGACACCTCCCATCAGACGTTGTGCTTATCAAATCATAAGGAACTACAGTTTGTCTTTCAAGAAGCGGGCCAACTAAAGACAGGGGAGAGGACAGGGCAACGATGCATGCAACGTCAAAACAACTTCCATAAAAATCACAATACGTTTTGATGTGGAGTTACTGGGATATTGCAGAGCCAGTACAGCCCTACACCGCTGTGTGGTGCTCCCTTCCCAGCTCAGGTGGTGGTGAAGGTGCAGGGACAAGAGAAAGGACTGCATGCTGCTGGGACCACCCCTTAGCTGCTCCCTGGGGTCAGCCACAGCACCCCTGCTCAGCTTAGCAGACAGTGAGCATCCTTAATTACCTTAATTACCTCCCTTCTCACGCTTCCCTCCCCCAGGTAAACCCTGCTCTCCAAACCCTAACCATGGACAACACAGAGGGTATCAGACAATACGTTAACATTATGCAAGCATTCGTAGAATAGAATGACAAATTTCACATCTTTGGCATCTGTTTGCTCTAACATTTTGCTTTCCAGAAGACACCGTGGAATGGCATAGGAAGTGAGTGAGCAAGGTGAAAACTAAGGCCTGCTAGTAAGAGACGTTCAGAAAACTAAGAAGCCTTGCTAAGGGAACAAGGAGGTAACTGCATACTCATGGAAGAAACCCAAGTCAGTTTCCACAATCCATAGGGAGCATTGTCTGAAGATGGTCCAGAAGCTTCTAGAAACCTTCTAACAAAAGAGGGGGCATCTTGGCATGAACCATAGACAAAACCCTCCAGCAGTGTTAACTCTAAGTAAAATTCGCTATCAGGCCTGGAGCAGGTGCCTGCCCAAGCCTCTAGGGAGCACACCCAACACTTTTCAGCAAGGATCCTGCAGCCCAGCCCAGCTCTGTGAGTCTCATAATCTCTCACTAACTCCAAAGCCTGAAGAATAGACCACAGAATCACAGAATGGTTTGGGTTGGAAGGGACCTTAAAGATCATCTTGTTCAAATGCCCCTGCCACGGGCAGGGGACACCTCCCACTAGACCAGGTTGTTTAAACCCCATCCAGCCTGAGCTTGAACACCTCCAGCGATGGGGCATCCACAGCTTCTCTGGGCAACCTGTTCCAGTGTCTCAACAATGTTCCAGATGTTCGCAGTCAGCAACAGCCCTAACAGGCCTAATTTATTTTTCTCCCAAAAAAGCCCAAGTTTCATGTAAGCATGCTAAAAGTATTGCAGTTATGCAAGGGTCCTTCCTCATTCTAGTTTGCTGCTTCATCCCGCTAAGCAATCTCTCCCAGTTAACAATAATGTACACACTCGAGTGCCATTTTCAGACATAAAATACAGTAAAGTGTGATTTATAAGTGCTTTTCAGTGTTTGATTCCTCGAGATCTTTTTATTTCTCACAGTAAGTCACAATTTCCATGCTGCTTTTCTCTGTCTCAATAAATGAGCAGACACAGATGTTTGTCAGAACTGCAGATGGTGGTGGAAGAGGAACTTTGGCACAGTCTTCAGCTGGTCTAAACAATGGGGAAAAGTACCTATTTTCGGAGAAAGCTCAATTTACACTTCAGCTGTCAGGACTATTTGGGGTCTTTCCACTTGTACATTTTTGAGAGGTCCCGCCCAGTCAGCAGGAAAAGTTGGATACTACATGTATATTTAACCCAAACTCCCACTCATCCTCTCCTCCTCAAAGTCATACTGGAATTAATTCCATGGGTTTTTATAACAAGGGTCCCAGAGGAGCTGAGCAGCAGCAGCAGATCATAAGGAAGAGCAAGAGAGCTGGCAGTGTTAAAGGACCCTATAGGCAGGTAAGGAATTCTAAATCACGCTGTAGCTACACTGAGTGACCCAGTGTGGATTTTCATGGCTGAATACCCTAATCAGCTCAAAAGCCTTCCTTTTAAGCCAGAAGGTCTCTGCGTGAGGACGCCATGCACTGAGCACACGAATTAGCAGGTCACCAACACATGCACAGGAGACACACAGTCATGTTGTAGAACCCATTTGCAAACAGCAATGGCTGCTTTCATGCAGAAATTTGGTTTTATAGTTCTTTTTCAAAGGCCTTATCTAGAAGACCTGCCGGATAGTGGAGCTGTATCGGTCAGTAAAATGACAGTGGTTTGGTTTTGCAGCTTGTTACGCTATCTGGGGTAAGTTAATATGAATGACAATGTCATATTAAGACTGTAGGGAGATACATTGAAATCAGGACCTCTGGTCACCAGTTGACAGACCTCCAAGGAAAAAGCAAACACCCACAAGCCTGTCATCCCCTTCACTTTTGCAGTGTTGCAGGCATGCATCCAGAAGACGTAATTTTTGAGACAGGATCTGAAGTGCCGTCCTCTTGAAGTAAGTCAGACTTACATTTCCTACCTCAGCCTGAAACATGAGAAAGGAACTGAACTCTAGGAAGAAATCCCAAGAAGTTCTAAGATGACAGCATTAAGAATAGATAGTCAGTGCTGTCTAGCCACAGAATTGAGTCCTCACACTTGTTCCTGTAAGTAGTTTCACTTATTTGGACACTGAAAACAAATTGCTCTTTTCACACAGTGATCCTCAGAGACTAAACAGAATGTGTTTTTCCATTCAATTAAAAAAAAAAGCAACCCACCACCAACCTTAAAAGTTCGCAGTTATGAGAAGCCAAGTATTCTGAAGATCAAAGAACATATTTAAAACCCAGACCTTGCAATACAGTGGACAGATAGGGCTCTACCCTCAATTAAGCCACGGATACCCTGCTGGCCCACTCAATCCCTGGATTACAGCCACAGTTTCCACACTCTTCTAGTTCTTCTGTCAAATATTTGTGTATGGACACTAATCCTCATGGAACTTATTCCAGGAACTCCTTTCACAGTCAAACAGAGCTCCATTGATCAACTGCAGCCTACGATGTAAGAATATGTAGACCTCTGTTCCTTTAAAGGCTCCTCTATTCAAAACAAGAACTACAGTACTTAACTTTTAGTACCTGAAACCTTTCAGATCCTAACTTACTTGTGCAGTGGGTTACTTTATTTCTAAAATTCTAATGTAAAAAGCCTGACGTATCAATTCCATTAGCAAAGTTCATTGACAGGATGCTGTTAAGAAAAACTCCCACTCAAAATCAAGTGGACACCAGATTTTGTATAAAATGCTACTGAAGGCCACTACCCCCAGGAAAAGACAGATACTACATATTTTCAGATGGTGTCCTGGGGCTCAATAATTTTTAAGCACATTTAACATACTAATCGTAGTTTCCATTTCTTTACAAATCATCTCTTCACAATTCAGTTTAATTTTTTTATAGTTAACTAAATAACTGGGACCTTATTTTAGGTGTTCAGCATTCTGTTGATAACATCTGCTTTCAGATGCTTAACAGCTATGGCCAAAACCCCACTAATTAATTCTATGGCTATCTGTTGAAAAGCCATTGTATATGCAGTCACTCCAGTGGAGCTGAAGCCTTGTAAAAAGCCTCCTGGTTTTAACTTACATGTAAAATCAGCAGGACTATTTTCTCCATGACCCAAAACACACCAAGTTTGACTTAAAAAAACAAACAAATAAACAAACAAACCAACCAACAAAGAGTTACATATTGCTGAGTTTTACTTCTGCAAGCTAACTAGCTTAGTGTTTCAAATCCACCTGGCTCTGTAAGTCTCCTTGCTGAGAGACTCTTGCTAGAAAAATAAAGACCTTATCCTTCCAGGAATACAAAATGGATCATTATCTCAAAAATAATAAATAATAATAATGAAGTATATTACTTTAAAAATAGTACATTCTTTATATTAACTTCAGATATATTTTCACAAAACAAAACCCAATCCACAGCTACTTACAAGCCATTCTCTTCCTATACAGCATTATCTTCATTCATCCAAAAAATTTCCATTTCAATAGGAAAAGTTTGGAGAACATCCTTAACTGTGTTAGGGGGAACACTATTTACCAAAAGTAGATTCTAATTTAAAAAAACCAAAAACAAACCAAACAAAAAAACAGGCACCCAGACATAAAACAAGTCCAATATAACCTAGAAAAAATAACTGTACTCAGATGCTACATTACTGATAAAATAGCAAAATACAAGAAACTTTCCTTTTTATTTAAAACTACTATTCATAAAAAGTAGTTTCTTTGGAGAAAGAAGCCACTATGAAAGATCTGAAAAAAATCATGCACTTAAAATCTGTTAAAATTTTACACAAGTTTTAAGAATCAAAGTTCTTGATCACCAATTCTTTGCAGGTCTCATCTTTCACAATTTTCTGAAGTCTTGGAAGCCAGGTGTTCCAAGAAGTTCTATTACTGTTCATCCATCCTTCCAAGTCGCCGCCGCCGTCTACAGAAAGACTTTAAGTTCCATTTGTTTCCTTCCAACATAAAAGGTCCATTGTAGACAAACAACACTGTCATTCTGTCATTGTAAGTGAGATTCTGCAGGAGCTGGTGAAAAAACACAAAAGGTAAAAACAGCTGGAAGAGGTGTTCTCCATTATCTAAAACAAGTAAAGGAGGTCTACATAAAGCCTTAGATCTCAACAAGTCAAGGCATGATTATAGCCTTTCTGACAGACAATGTATATTTGTTCCTAGAAACCCCCCAAAGAGTCTCCACTCATTCTCCTGGCAATTTCCATGCTTCACTATTCTCACTACAACAAAACCTTCCTTTTGATACGTACCTTCTTGCTGCAAATGCTACTTTTTTGCCTTGTCCACAATAGGCAGAGAATATTGGCTGATTTTCCTTTTTTGCTAGGGCAGGGCATGAGGTAGTTCCTTGGGCACAATTATTATGTCTCTTTTCAGCCTTGTACTCCGAGTTAAGCAATTTTAAACAGTGGAAACTCAAAACGTCTTAAAAGTTGCACTGCTGTCTTCTGGAATAACTCCAGCCACTGTCCTGCTTTTCTGGAGTGAACTTCTCTCTCCTCATTCATTTAGGCATTTGTGCCTTAGACCAGATGCTGTTGTTGATTTTTCCCACTTAAATACCAAGTCCTGTGCTTGTCTGTACTGAAATGCATCCTGTTTTCACATGAAGTTACCCAGTCCAAGATTATTTTGAACTCTAATCTTGCTCTACAGCAAAGAAGCATCCACTCCCAACATGGTGGTTATTTGCATGTTTAATAAATGTAATCTGTTTCAGGATAGATTTATATTAAAAATACTGATTTTCAAACCCAAGAAAGTTTGTCCAAACCCAAGAATGTGTCCTAAAGAACACATTCAGTTCATCTACTCATTCTGACAGTGAACCACAACTATTCACAATACAATTTTCCTCATCAACTCTACTGCATATTAATCTATACTCCTTCCCCTCTGTAGCTTGCTTAAAGCTATAGCTGGGTAAAGTGTCAACACCCTTTAAAAAAAAACACGTAAGAGTTTTTCCTGTACCTACTGGATACATATATGGAACTTAACTTAGTATGACAATTTCTCATACTTACTAGAAAGCAAGTATGTAAACATGTCCTAGAAAGTGATGCATAGGCTCAGGAACTGCAGGTAAGCCACTGGAACAGCAGAGCCTGGCTTTCTCCTCAGTCTGTCCTGTACAACCTTTTAATTATCCTCTGATGCTGCACATTAAAACTATCTTATTGGACAAAACCTTTACGTAAACTGCTACCTCAATAATGTTCTTTGTGGTAGGCCATTAAAACTTCCCTATGTTAACTGTGGTTATCACCTGCTTGCAGTTGATCAGGAGAGAAAAAAAAAAAGAAAAACCTTTAGCCACCTTTTCATAATGCTATCTCTTGCTGCTGAATAGCAGTGCAAGACATTTGTTGATCTTCCTTTTACTCTAATGTTAAATGGACTTTTAAGCCTCAGAAATTTCTTACGTCTGCCTTCTCATTTAACTCTGATCTTTCTGATTAGGTCCACACACTCAATGTTCCCCCTTCTCTATTCTTAGTAATTTGAGAGTAAGAACAACTTTTACAACAGACTCTGAACTCTAGACAGTAATTCGCTACAGTCCTTTATACGTGGGAAGCATTATAGTTAGAGGAGCTTTTTCTATCCTTTCAACATCCAGACCACTCTCTTATTTCTCAAAGTAGAAGAAAGCCCAGAAAAGCAGATCCAGTAAGGAGAGAAACTGCAAGAAGACAAAAGCAGATAGATAACAGAACAAGAAAGAAGTAACACGGACAGGAAACAACCAAACTGCATGGAGGTAAGTACACTGCAAGATCAGAAGAAACAACAAGCATGACCTTCCTCCTACTTTCAGTCAGGTAAATGCTGCCGGTCCTTCAACTGCTATTTACAGAAAAGAACAGCACATACTAGCCAGATTTTCTGAAATACAGTGAAGTACAGGACGTGGGAGAACTGATACCTTAATAAAAAACATACAGCCCATAATTGAATGCTTGCCTCCTCGAAGTACAAGCAACCTTTACTGGTTCAACCTGTCTTGGGTCAAGTTGAACGTAGCATTAGCCTCTGTTAAAGGTGCAGGTGACCAGCCACCTACTTAAGTCCTTTCAAGCCACAGAGTCACATCATCACATCACATAGTAATTCTATTATATTTTTAATTTTTTTTTTTACTATTTTAATAGAAAAGCATAATCAAGCACTCGTCACTCTTGACTGAAAACTCCTCTTCAAGCCATTGGATCACAGCACTAACCTTTTCTAAGCATGCAAGGCTGAAATTATTACTTGAATAGTTTTCCTCCATGAATACGGGACTCCTCTAGTTCCGATGTCAGCACTGCTAGCCTGTTCCAATATAATTCTCTGACACTTTTAGAAGTTGGTCTCTGCTACAAACCCAATTCTGTGTGAGTCAGAGGCATTACATTTGACAGCCCTGTACCCCTCTCCACTGGTGGTTAATTTCTGATACTTCCACACAGGCTACAACTGCAGAACGTATTTATGATGAGATGAGCCTTGGTAAAAGTTGTCTGAATTCCTGCCAGAACTGGCCCTAAAATGGACAAATTCTCTCACAGTTACCCTTTAATATTCTTAGGTAAACCAAAGCTAAGTTTTACAGTGTTTATAGGGATATTATCACACAAAACTTTGCTACATATTAAATTTTCAATTTCCTTTTCTGCCACACACCTTTGGTGTAATAAAGAAGTACTGAGATGTGCTTTCTTTACAAGCAGTATTCACAACCATTTCAAAAACTCTTCTCTCATTCATTGGATCCATTCCCTACAGGAAAAAAAAAAAGAAGAAAAATTCTGTTACCTCTGCTGTGTCATAAGCATCTTTATAGTAAAAGGTTATATGCTGCACTATTGATCCTCACCTGATTTATTTCATCTACAACCCTGAAAGGACATCTGTTGAGTTTCTGTAGAGCCATCAGGTACAACATAGTGGAAACACTTCTCTCACCTCCACTCTGATGATAAGGAGTCAATTCATGAAGTTCAGTGCTACTGTGGAATTTGACTCTGATGCGAATCCCATACTTGTCGTATTCCTCCTATAAAAGCCAGTACCTGTTAAACTCAGTTTATCTGTACTACAGCTTATTTGATAATGGCATGCAAATTAAAGCAAATTTAAGGCAAATGTTCTACAGGGGTCTACAAACTACAAACTACTCAGGTTTAACTCACTATCAATATTTTAAATCTATTTCATGTATTTAACTCTGATCTATTCTTGTTAGATACTGAATTTTCAATACCACTCCCTCCCCGCGACAATCAAAAAAACCCCAGAGGATAAGGCAATATTGACTAAACCACAGCTAAAAAAAAAACCTGCAGATACACTCTTTCCGTATATGTGATATAAACCTAAACTGCAATTAACTACCTTAATTAAAACAAGGTTTAAGCTAAGCAAAGATGAGTTTTTCAAGCTAACCTACACATCTACATATTATTCTTTAGTATTCTGCACCGATTTAATGTGCAGATGATTTAACTCAGGAATGCAATGTAGCATGTTAGCAGGTGCGTACAGAGCAGCCCAACCTCAGGCAGAGTTACTGGCTCAGACCTCAGATGCACTACAGAGATGTTAGCAGGGTGCTGCATCTTTTATAAACTCTGCCACTCAGAGGCAGGTATAAATGTGTTCAGTTTCAGTATCACTTTGAGGCTGCTGTATTGCTTCCTGGTCAGGAGCTAGATGCCTTCCCTCCTCATAGCCTTCTATTGAGGCGTGTAGGCAAGTCATAAATTTGTTTAAAAAACAACTTACAGTAAGCCAGCTCAGCTTCTTTGATAAGGTAAGGCCTTACGTGTTTATCTGTGAATATTTTTATACCCTTCAAGTTTTGCATTTTGTCTTCCTTTCCCTACAAAACCACCAATGCCACGGTTCACAAGAGATGCAAAGAACAGTCATCTTCTCAGACATTTATTATTATTATTATTATTATTAATTATTAATTATTATTAATTTCCAAATCCCTGTTAAGAAAGCCTTCATACATATTAAGAGAACAACTACAAGAAAAAAAATCTTGGCTAGAAAAAGGAGAAAGCAAGTCTAACTAAATACTTTGCTTTTCCTCTACTAGCAGATTGAGACACAAGATTCACTATTTTAGCAACTTCCCTTTCATATATGGGTCAAGAAAACCAATCCACAAGGATTCCAACTGTTGCCTTTTCTTCAACAGGAAATTGACAATTGTCAGAAGTCTGACTCAATGATGCATATGTGTGGGGATAACAGAGGTGGTTCAAAAGAAGGCCCATGCAAGGAAATACATTCATGATTCAAGGTAAAAAGAAATCTTTGGAGTACTTGCTAATATTTCTGAAGTTCAGGTACACTCAGTGCAAGAATGGAAACACAATCCCCAGTGCAGAAAGCCCATACTGATTGCTTACCATTTGGTCTACATAAGACACAATCTTTGTATGTACTTATTAAATTAATGAGAGCTACAGGGAAGATTCAAAAGTTTTAGGAATATGAGTTCATGTGGTCTATCTGTATTCACTGTGGAAGCATAAATCCTGCACTTGGAGGTCATTGGCTCACGTCCTTCTGATAACACAACTGTAATGCTGAGGGTAGAAGAAAGGAGTGGAGGTGACTCCTGATGGTTATTCACAAAATACTTTGGGATTTAGAAAGGACAGCTGTGGCAAAGAGGCAATGAGAAGCCCATCTCGCAGAACCTGGCATGTACTGCTTTGGTTTGCATTGCCACATGCCACAGTCATCAAAAGGCATATGAACCTGGGTGACCCGGCAGAGTCCCACTGTAGGACTGACTTTTATGAAGCATAAGAAGATCTAAAAACCACCATGAAGTAAGTCATATCTGCTTAAACTCTTAAAATTGCCTTAAGGAACCTCAAGTCTGTAGGAAAAATTTTCAGCTTCTTTGTTACCTTCAGGTCTTGTTTTGGGATGAGTAATGTACAGATAGCATCTAACATTGGAAAGGGTGTATCAAATCCTGTCAGATCAGCTATTCTGCTAAATCAGAAGAACAAGCCATCTTTTGGTGTTCCTGGTGTTTTACTACACCTGCAGAAAAACAGACTCAGGGCTGTTAAGTGTAATGTCTTATACTAGTATTTACTTTCATGTACTACAAACCTCTGGTGCCCCTGGTGTACCAGTATTATAGAAACATGGAACTGTCAATCCTTGAGGCTGAAGCAAATGCATACACACTTTAGGAGAGAATGAAGGTGACCTGACACAGTTATAAGCTCACGTTTGCTAAGTGCCAACTTTTCTCCAATTTTGAAGACAGGTCACCTTTCTCACCCTTGATGTTTTCCGTGTTGGGAACGGACTGCCACTTCCAAAGACCTGCCTTCTGGAGGTGTGCTGTATGACCATGACAGACACAATGGAACAAAGCAACGCTTAATGCAAGCTGATTTTGGTTACCATTTTATTCTCTTCTACTATGGAAGGAAATTTCTTTTTTGGCATTTAATGCACATTATCAGAAGAATAATTAGCTTCTCAGATTTGCAGATTGTAGTTTGATAGCCATGCCTGATAATTAGAAGCCTAAGAAAGAAAATCATGGGGCATGCTTTCAAAGCAAATGATTGTTGTTGCACTGACCTTTCTGGAGATGGCATTTTGCTAAGGGGAGCTAATAAGACATTCTCCTAATAAGTGAAGACAACAGCACCATAACTTAGATAAACTTTCTCCATTTTAGCAGGATTTGGTACTTGATTGTAAGGATCAATGTTAACAGACCCACAGTTTGGCTTGCTTATGACCAGGAACACTTAGTACAGCGGAGTGAAAAAATATTCTTAAGTTCACAATTTAGTGACTGTTTCTTCTCTAACAAGTAGTTGCAGAGCTTTGGCTATGCCCTTTGGAAAAGGATGCGGCTGTGAGACATCAAGAACACAATGACTTCGTGTAAGGAGAATTATAAAACAGAATCTAAGGGCTGTAAGGCCCACTGTAATTCCAGATGCATTGGCACAGGCTGAAACTAGGCTCAGAGAAGTTTACAAGGTACACACTGGCAAAACCTCCAGCAAAAGAGATCCACTCTGCAGCACAGCCACAATGGCATCAGAAAGTCAGGCCTTTGTTGCCAGACTACTGGGAATGCCATTTCATATAACTGGCAGATATTGCCTGACCTGTCAAGAATGATGCTTAGAAGGCTCTGTGGGAAATCAAGGAAGGTGAGGGTTATCATTGCCAGCACTCTGAATTCTGGTTACCAAGTGCTACCAAGGAAAGTCAGAACATCCACTGTGTTTTTTGCTAGGATGTCAAGGAAGAAACCAGTGAAACATTTCACACAGTAGGTGCTATCACCAAGGACATCATCAGATCTCAAGGTTCCTCCAAGGCAAGCTAACAGAAGCAAGAAATTCAGTGTCACAGGATTACTTCTGCCAAAGACAATTCTGCCTCAAGGGTCTCTCTTTTGATATTTACGTGTCAGGACAAAAGAGTCTGCTACAAAGAAGAAGAGTAGGGAACCCAAGCTCTAGAACAGATTACCCACCTCTGTGTTACAGGCATTGAGCCCTTGACAAAAAGGTTATAATCATTGGCTCCGTACCTCTAGCTAACCTCTTAAACTATTTGTGCCATCTTTGCAAGAGAAAAGCAAGACCTTCCAAAGAAGTTATTCAGTATGACAGTCCAGACTCTCTTTGCTTTTAAACTGCTATACTATTTTTCCTGTATACTCTCTCCCACTTACTTTTAGATAAAAGTATTTGTGTAATATAGATCTGACTCTGTAGGTCAAAAGAACTGAAAAGTCCATGTTTTAATGCCCTGTTGTTTCATAATAATAGTTTCTATGTAACCATTTTTATGCAGTTCATGTAAAGAGCTTTGTCAGTCACTATTTTGCTCCCAATAGTAATTACCACTGCAAATATTTAAAGAATAGCTACTTGAGTAATTTACAACAGTGAAAAATCTGTTTAAGTGTCAACTTTCACTACTGTGTGAGTCTATGCATTACATACGACAGTCTTAAAATCATCATTACAGAGATCAATTTAGAACAAAATACCCAACTTATCTTCAGACCACTGTGCTGAATATGTATCCACAAGGTACTACTGGCGTTTTAAACTCTTCATCAGAGGTAAACTCTGCCTATAAATGTTACCAAGGGCATAAAAGGCTGGGCCAAATGATTCCTATTTCCAAACCAGATAGAATGTCAGCAGACTTGAGTAGAAACTGCATGTAGAACCAAATTAATACAACACTTAGTAATAGTAGACTTAGTCACTAAATGATAATAGAATAGCACAAATTAGCTGAAACTGTAGAATTAAATCACTAAATTAATAAACCTGAGTTACAGCTAAAGTAAATACAATACTTCTAACTGAGCCCTGTAAGTTGCAAAAAAGGTTCCAGAAGTCTGTGAGCTGAAGTCCTATGCATCTGGACAGACTCAGTTTCCTTTAATCAGACTGATAAGCCAGTTCTAGCACAAAAAAAAGCATGTTCATCAGTAAAGTTCTTTTTTTTTTTAAAAAAACATCTTTCCTACCATCCAAATGACAACTTGTGATATTTTCTCTAGCAATATATAAGCAAAAGATGATTCATGAAAATACATTATTCTTCCATATGAAAATTAAATCATACCTCATTTTCCACATGAAGATCAACTTCACCAACACACTGCATAGAACTAAAAAAGTTACTGAACTTTTCATTAATTTGCTCAATCAGCTCTTTCAAGGGGTTTAGCCACATTTCTTTCACCTAGAAGCAGACACATCCAAGTAAAACCATTTTTAGTAACTGAATTTTCATTTAGATAGCACTTAAGTTCAAAAATATCATAATTACAGAAGCTAAAATCTCAGTTTACACTCAAAAAAACTTGGAACGCTATCCTTTATTTCTGTATATACATACAATTCTAATAAAAAACTGATACAGAAGTGATAATTTCGGCTATTACCTGGGAAATGTTTTGCTTATAGTTATCCAATTCATTTTTCTTTTCCTCTAGATACTCCGTTAACTGCTGTATTTCTTGTGTCTGCTTATTGTATTCTTCAACAACCTGCCAGAATAAATAAAAAAAAAAAAGTCAACAAAATGTTTGATTATACATGCCAATTCTAACCTTGACTGTAAAAATACCACACTGCACCGATTCTGTCCAAACACAATTCTATAAATTATTGCATTGCACACCGAACAGGAAACATCTCTAGCTTTAAAGCAAAGAAAATGTAAAGCATTGCTGATTTCAGGTTACTGCAACTTTTTTTTTATTTTGTTTAAAAGGCACAGAACACACTGTTCTTTTGGAAGAACCTACTTAAAATTCTAATAGATGCAGAATCTGGCATTTACAGCACATTGTTCCTGCTGTCTAGCTTATTATACCAAGAGATCTAGCACAGAGTGGGAAGCAAGTACAATAAGGGTGGAGGGGGAGGAATAGAGGGTGGAGGGAAAGCAGTGAACATACTGAAGCATTCAGGCCTGTGAAACAGGAGGCCCTGGTTTTCTCTTCATTCAGAACAGCATCAATTTCCTCCAACGTGGTCGGAAGAGCCTGAAAAGCCTACAAGAGAAAGGATGCACGTGTTACACAGCAATGCTAATGGACTCAAGTTTTCTAAAAAGGAATCGAATAAGCCATAAAATATTCTATTACTTTTTTTGATCAGAATGTTACATCTTCAAAATTTAACAGAGCAAGATTCCCTCACAAACTATTGTGGACAGAAGGCAGCCAGAAGCATTACTACATAACGAAGATACGCAATTAATTTCTCCTTAGTTGCCTACTTTGTGCAGGTACAGATGCTCACAGACTTGGTGTAAGCCAGGGGCTACACTAGTTAAGACATGCAAATACTTCTAGAGGCTGGGAATACCTCCAGGTAAGTAGGCGTGCCCATATTTCAGTTCTTTTTTGTTGCTCCATTAGAGCAAGAAGCTAGAAAAATACAGCCTCTAATTATTTCTATGAACACAAAACTATGGATTTTAATTGAAATTTCAGATCAGATTTTCTCCTCCCTGTGCATAGAACAAAGTGATAGTCAGAGGATATCCCAGCACAATTTAAAGGTGCTGTAAAAGGGTAAGTAACAATATATGAGTTAACACTAACAGAAGTATACGTGATCCTTCCTGGTAATCTTCTAATATAAAATACATAATACTTTAAACTTTTTGCTGGAGAAGTTATAATGGTGCACATCATCTAAAATTTAAGAAATATGTGGAGAATTGTTTTTGTACGTACAGTTTGAAATTCTTTTGGAAGATGTTGATCTGGACTCAGTTTGCAGACCTGTCGAGCTTTTTTCAGCAATTCCTTGCAGTTTTCTGTAAGAACTCGCTTCCTATCATCCAGCTCACGAAATCGTTGCTGTTAAAGGTGATATTAAAGTACACATTTTTTAGCTTTATTATAAATTTGCAGAGGCAACACGAGCACATTGGCAACAACAACATCCGAATCAGAGCACACAGGTGAATTCAGACTGCTTCAAGACTGAAAGTCTTCGTTTCACACACAGAACTCATTCTGCCTGTCTACTCTAAGTCAACAGATGCCAAGGTAAACTGATCAAAAGCATGTTCCTGTAATATAGCTAAATTTATTTTCTCTCAACTAGACAAATGTGCATGTAGATTCACTGTATGCCTCAAAATAGACTATTTTACAGGAAATTACCTACAGGCCAAACCACTACTACTGTGAGCCTTACTTATTATTAGCTCCCACTCAACTATATTTATCTGCTTGGGAGGTCATGGCGGAGATGATGTATATTGAATGGTACTTTAGCTGAAATTTTACAGAGTAAACATCGTAATTACACAATCAGAAGTATTTCCTTTGTTGTTTCATACTCTACCTCTGCAATACCACCAGCAAAACACAACACAGAAACACACACGATTTTTAAACTACTAAGCCAGAAAAATAAGTGAAAAGCAGGTACGGTTTCCATTTTTAAACAGCAGTCTCAAGACTAAACTCTTTGGAACTTACTACAGGTAAGGCCTACGACTTTTATAATGCGATGTTACCACAACAGTAGTACCTTCATGAAACACCAAGCTAAAGATCATCTCAAGTAAGTAGTATTCAGGTTAAAAATTTGAAGAGCCTTAAGTATCTCTTCCCCTCTGCGCCCAGAAATCTCACTCAGTTATCTCTATACACGTGGTCCCTACCTCAGGCCTGCTGCCTGAGCTGGCTGCTGTCTCCCAGCTCAGGTGAGCATCCATCTGCAGATAGCTGGGAGCGGCCAACAGCTACTCCACAGTGAAAAGAAGTACATGCCAAGATACTCGAGCTTTTAATCCAAGTTATTTCACTATACATTTACTCAGTCATTACACACGCAATCCATCTTTTTGACAGACGGGTACACCATAGTAATACACTAAATTCACTTATTTCAGAGGCACAAAATTCTAACTCAAAATCCATATGCACAGTATTTTGCTTCAGAGCTTTCTTCTGATACTTTGGAAAGGTTAGCTACATTCCTAGACTTGGGAGAGCTGTATCTTCCCAATTTTTATTGCTGCGTACTTCAGTTAAATATGAGAGCCCTCCAGTGGCAAAAAAAAATTTGAAGTGTTCATTTGGAGATTATACAATTAGATAAATGTTTATTCCGCATTTTTTAAATACAAGACACAGACCTGATAGCGACTTGCATTACTTTCTGGCAATTTAATTAGTCTTTATCTACAAAATACAACAGGAGCAGTAGTAACAGATACGATCTAGAGAGATTATCAATTGGGTTCTCACACTCAAGAGTTAGGACTGCTGTTCTCTAGAGCATGTATTAACTCAAATATCCTGGTTTTCCTTCCCTCCACCCAGCACTAGGAAATAGATTTTGCATTAGAGGTAAGTATTTCACAATCTTCATAAACACACAGTAAAGATATTGTTCTACACTCTGTTGATGTTTTCCAAAGGGTGAAAAAAAAAAAAAGAAAAAGAGAAAAGAGGCCTTTTTCAGATTTCTCCCCTGCCTCCACTTGGTGGAGTCTACTGTAGAGAAGGAAGAAAATGTCGCATGGAGGCAAGAAGGACTGGCATTAGAGCTATTGTGGCCATCATGGCTTAGATGGGTATACTCTCTGCTGGGTTAAAAACTGGCTGGAGGGCCGAGCCCAGAGAGTGGTGGTAAATGGAGCGAAGTCCAGTTGGCGACCGGTCACGAGTGGTGTCCCACAGGGCTCAGTACTGGGGCCGGTTCTCTTCAACATCTTTATCAATGATCTGGACGAGGGGATCGAGTGCACCCTCAGCAAATTTGCAGACGACACCAAATTGGGTGGGAGTGTTGATCTGCTGGAGGGTAGAGAGGCTTTGCAGAGGGATCTCGACAGGCTGGATCGATGGGCTGAGACCAATGGAATGAGGTTCAATAAGGCCAAGTGCAGGGTCTTGCACTTGGGTCACAACAACCCCATGCAGCGCTACAGGCTGGGGGCAGAGTGGCTGGAGAGCTGCCTGGCAGAAAAGGACCTGGGGGTGTTGGTCGACTGTCGGCTGAACATGAGCCAGCAGTGTGCCCAGGTGGCCAAGAAGGCCAACAGCATCCTGGCCTGTATCAGGAACAGTGTGGCGAGTAGAGCCCGAGAAGTGATCATCCCCCTGTACTCGGCACTGGTGAGACCCCACCTCGAGTACTGTGTCCAGTTTTGGGCCCCCTACCACAAGAGGGACATTGAGGTGCTGGAGCAGGTCCAGAGAAGGGCAACGAAGCTGGTGAGGGGTCTGGAGCACAAGTCTTACGAGGAGAGGCTGAGGGAACTGGGGTTGTTCAGTCTGGGGAAGAGGAGTCTGAGGGGAGACCTTATCGCTCTGTACAAGTACCTGAAAGGAGGGTGTAGAGAGACGGGGGTCGGTCTCTTCTCCCAAGTTACAGATGTCAGGACAAGGGGCAATGGCTTCAAGTTACGCCAGGGGAAGTTCAGGTTAGATATTAGGAAACATTTCTTTACTGAAAGGGTTATCCAGCATTGGAATGGACTGCCCAGGGAGGTGGTGGAGTCACCATCCCTGGAGGTATTTAAGAAACGTGTAGACATGTTTCTTCAGGGCATGCTCTAGTGCCCAAGATTATTGGTTTGTCGTGGGCTGCTGAGTGGGTGGGTGATGGTTTTTTGGTTTGGTTGTTGTTGTGTGTTTAGGTGGTGGGTGGTGTGGGTTTTTTGTTTTGGTTTGGTTTTTTTGGGGTTTTTTTTGGGTTTTTTTGGTTTTTTTTTTGTGGTTGGACTCGATGATCTCTGAGGTCCCTTCCAACCACCACAATTCTGTGATTCTGTGATTCTATACAGACAAACCAGCAATAAGTGGAGGACATAACCTCCTTTTGGTTACAGCCAAGATCTTATGTCATTCTGAATTAGCACAAATAAAACTGTACACCGCAATGCTTATGTTCCATTACACATCTGCATATCCCTTGCAATATGTTCAATAAGCAACTTTTTGGGAATATTTTAGAAAGTTCTAAATTAAAACTTGACTATATTTTGGATTCCAGAAATTTAAGAGCCAACTGGCTTCATCTGAAATGTGTTTGACCTCATAATAAGGCGGTGATCCTTATTATGGATCCCGTGAAAGACAACACATCAATACTTTTTTTTTTTTTTTTGCATAATAGAAGAAACATCAGTTCTATACTGATGTGTTTGACCACTTCCAAAGCCAAAGTAAATTCTGAATCACTGGAAGTGGGAAATACCAGCCCTCAATTGCACATAAAGCTCCCATTCGAAACCCTGCAGAGCTGTATGAAACAAGATTTGAGGTTGATCTCTGTGCACTAAAAATCCAAAATAGATTCAACATTGAATACGCCTGACCCAAGCCTAAGGCAAGTAAAATTATTCAGGGTGTGAAAAGGAAAATACATATTTGGGCAGAGGAAATGTCAGCAACAGATGGAAGCAATGGACATTTGATGTGGCTATGAGGCACATGCTAGAATAAATGCACTGACAGTTCAGCAACAAGGTCAGCCTCAATTTTCATTCAGCTTTGCCAGTTGACTGTCATGGCTACATGCTAAAAAAAGTTAGGTAAATAAAAATACACAAGTTTTGATTCCTTCTCGCTCTTATATATTCAAAAGTGTATGACAATGTTAAGGCTTCTGTTGATTTCCTGAAGGTGTCTCAGTAAAACCCATCTAGATTAAAAAGTAAGAAGAAACAACTAACATTTTGAACAGGGATGCTACCATGAAAAATCATAGCCTAGACAGAGCTTTACATTTGTTTCAGCCAACAGCATAAGAACCAATTTGTAAAGAGCTTTATCTGGGTACTCCAGGAAAGTTCTGTACTAGCATGGGGCTGTGATTACAGCTTCCTGAAAGGCATCTACCAAACAGTAGAAACCAATCATATTTTGTGTTAGCAAGCAATTTGTATTCTGTTGTGCTCATCAGTACTACAACTGGTTTTGTTCAAAATAAGAAGCTGGTTGAAGAAAATATAGTTACCAGAAGCCAATGTTTTCTCATGAATTGGTGTTGGAATGTGTGCTCAGTGACAGCATTTAATTATTTGAAGTTTGGAAATTTATACATAGGAAAACATAATCCACATTTTCTTAAAACACGGCTTAAGGAGCAAATGCTGCAGTGTACATACTGAGTATTAATATGAATTATTTAAACAAATTTACACCAAATGAACCTGAAAATTAACAAGCTATCAAAGCAAGACAATTAGCAAGACTTTTTCACGCAACCATCATAAACATGCAGGCAACTGTGCCAATTATCTAATGAGCAGATGGGGCTAACAATCCTCCCTAACATTCAGCATGGGTCACAAACACAGATTTGCTTCTTAGGCTCATTAAATAAATTAAATACAAGGAGTTGTTAAAATAACACTAAGATTCCCACTTGAACTGCAATGACAAAATACAAACCCCAGAAATCTGTTGTTGCTAACTTGATTTGGTGGAAAACATGTACTTTTTTGGCCTTTCCACCTAAGTGGTTTAAAAAAACCCTCACCATAAAGCTACAAACTTGTTGCTCTCTCCACAGTATCCCAGTGCCAAGACCTCACAAAAGGAACATATGCGATCTTCTGTTAGATGTACTCAGTGGGATTTGTGTTTGCTTCAAATCTTAATCAGATATTTACTCAGGTATTATAAAGACTCAAGATTGCCTGGGACTTAAACACCATGAGTAGGTGCTAAGCATTAACAAAGTTTTGCATCATTTCCAATGAATCCAATTTCAATGAACATTTCAGGATGAGCACATGACCTATAAAACTGTCTGATGATTAAATAGAGAGTTGATGGTTCCATAATTGTAATGTTTAAACTCTAATTTAGCTCACTACACAGCCTTTGTAGAATATACTTATTTCTATTTCTATTTGGCTTCTTCCTTTTTTCAGGTTTATTTATTTTATAAAAACATGTAGGAACGGTGTGGAAGACTTCCTTGAAGTGTTGTGATGGCATCCCCACAGGCAGCTTGGGAGCAAGACTATCTTAACACAGTACCACTGTAGAAAAAAAATTCATCACAGCCAAAGACACTAAGAAGTTGGAATGAAGGGCCAATTATACAAAGTATTTCAAATAACACTTAATTTGAGATGAAGCTATGAAATACTGAGTTTTCCCCACAAAAGTGCATCTCTTAAGGCAGAAAATAAGAAATAAACCACAGAGTATGAAACATACATCATTCATAGGGAAACACAGGGAAGAGAATTTCTGAAAAAAGGGGCTGAAGACAATTCAAGGACTCAACTGTATATGGGGAAGCGTGGCTTTGTATGAAAACTTAAGGTGCACTTGAATACTTAAGACTTTTCCTCTAGAGCAATTAAACTTCTCGAAATTCTAATAACTAGTATTACTGATTTTAGGGTATTTTTTCTGTTTTAATGTTCCAAGAACAAACCATGCAAAATATAAGCTCTGATATGATTTCCTCTACTCATGTGGTTGAATGCAACTCGGTAACAACGAATAATGGGACCTCAGCTGACTCAAACACCTCTTCATTATGGAAGGAGGCAATTCCTGTTTAACCCAGAATTATCAGAACATTTACCTTACAAGGCCTGTCTACCGATCTGACCAGACGTACCTATGCAACAGCCTAAACTACTCTCTAAATGACAAGGAAGATGGGGGCAGAGAGAACTAAAAACATTAAATAAACCTCCCAGTGATGATACACACTACCCAACATGCAGTTCATGGCTTTGTAATACATTCTTACTCCTTACTAAGCTCCAGCAATTAAGCTATTTGCATTGGATTTTGATAAAATCTGTGTAAGAGCTGCACCACATGAGGGAACTGATGCAACAGTGATTTTCCAAGTAACATGCTGGACTTGTCTCTGTCTTCAAGTTACTTTTTGCTCCTCTTAGGAAGTTCTCCTCTTCCTAAGTCTCCTGCAAGTGATGACACCTATAATGTTAAACGGTTTTCAAAATATATGCCGAAGTAATTCTTTTTGGAAGTGCATATCCATCCAAAATAACTCTCACTTACCTTTCAGACTGCTTTCCAATTTAACAGCAATTTTTTTTTTTGGTGTGGATCAAATTGAATTAGATTATAGTCAACCTGACCAGCATTCTGTACTCAACAGATTTGTCCCCAGTACATTGAAGGATTTAACTACTACACAAATATAAAAAAAATTGACCTCTATGCACCAATCCATGAGAGATCACAGCACCACCTGTTCTTAGGAAAGAGTACTTGTCTGTGGAACAAATTGCTCAGAGACTGTCTTTTTACCTGAACACGGTATAGGTTCTAATATGATCAACAGAAGGACTGCTTATCTTCATTTCTGACCCCTAAAAAAGGCATTTAATTACAGTTACGAGCAAATAAGCCATGAAAGAAAGGTAAAAAAGCTCTGCTCTTCTCTGATACTGTACTTTCTGGTTTATCTTGAGCTGCGTCTCTCAAATGGGTTAGGGCTACTTGTCTATGGCAGACTCAGAAGAAAAATATTACTTCCAAATAACAGCTAGCTTTTTTACACACTTTATGCATTACAATAAAAAGATACAGGACACTATGACTGATCAGTACATTTTCACAGAAGCTTAGATGTCTTAATTGAAGGCAGCAAAGCTCCCATTCAGCTTAGAGGAAGAGGCTGAAGACAAACTACAGAAATTAAAGCTAAATATTTAGCAACACTAATAACCATTTCTAAACAAAGACACAGAAGCATCCCTTTCTACATCATAAAGGCTTCCACAGAAGATGTTTTCATAGTAGACTTCCCAGTATTCATAGAAATGGTTACCTCTGCAGCTCTTAGTTGTATACTTGCTGCTTTATACTCTGATTCTAGTCTGTTCTTCTCAGCAGCCACTGTAGCGCTCTGAAGAACCAAATCTGCTTTGAGGATGTTCAGCGATACACAGTTCTACACAGGAAAACAGAAAATGTCATTTTTTTTTCCCCACAAAAGACTCAAAACTGATATAATCATTCTCAGGATTTAGAAACTAACAATTTTTTGATCATAGCATGCAATCTCACACTGTGTTCAGCTCTTCCACATTGCTGTCTCTCAAATTCAATGAAAAAGAAAGGTGACTTATTGGTGACCCAAGCTCTTCAAGGTGTATAGTTCCCATGTGCTTCTAATCTGTAAGCATATATATATCACTTGCAACCAAATAATTTAACACCACAAAAGCACATTCTCTTTCTCTACACTACATAATCACATGTGAAATGTGAGAAAAGACAAAGCCATCTCAATTCTTTCTTAGATACAGAATCCAACAGGTGGATCTTGGTGGACTTCGTAAGTCACACACAGAGATGGAGAAAGGTCAAAAAATAAACATATAATGTATATGCCTCTCTCATTGACAATGCAAGATGACTGACCGGATGGACAGTAATTCCAGTGTCTTGTATCTTAACTGGAATAGCGTATAATAATAGGAAACAGCTCTATTTTGGAAGTTTCTTAACAGGCTTTAGTGATCCCCAAAACCTAGTTTGACAACATTGACATTAAAATGGTTGTTTCTTTAAACCAGTCATCCTCAGGAGTGGTCTAGGGGCTTCAAAATCAGCAATATACTGTTGGTATGTGTAAAGTGTACCTTCAAACCTCAAATTACGGGGCATAACAATTGGCATATAAATATAAAGGAATCCTCTCTCTTAATGAAAGAGAAAACAAGGTTCCAAATGTAGACCTAGGAGACCCAGCAGGATGAAGTTTTGAGAGATTCTGACCACAACTGTGAGCCAATGTCTGAGATCTTTACTATACACTGTTTCAACACAAACTTTCTGCAGTGTGAACTTAAGACACAGGAACACATTTATTCATTTCCAATCCACTTAGTTTAAAAGCAACTATCAGGGAATTAAACTGAAAAAAAGTCATAACAAAAGGAGATGAAAAAGTTAAGATTATTCAAAGACAACAGCACAAAGAGAACTACATGCAAAAGCAGTACCAGAATCTGAAACAGTGGAACAAGGCTGTCTCTGTCAACTGGTTGTAAAGTATTAACGTGTATTAGGTACGTGCCAAGTACGCTCTGCCTTGTGTGTTTGTGCAAATGTATATGCAGCCTATCACTCTAGTTGACTGTTCCACACAAGCCTCAGAACTCTTTAAAAAGTAGATCATATTGCCACCATGCAAAGTCACAAAAATCCCATATATGTTTCAACTTTCCTTCTGTGGCAGGAGTATGTCTGAAACGTATGACTACCTAAGTTTTTATCACTTTAACAGCCTACAGCTAGTGTAACTACAAAACCCATTGAAGAAAGTACAAGGACTCCCATAAACCTGGAAGCATTCCTGTTTGGTTTGGGGATCACCAGAAATGTATGGATTTCAACAATCTGGTACAACACGTAATGAAACATCTTTCTTGTATCAGACCATTTTCTTTTCTTCAGTATGTACTAGCATATTTTTCCTAGAGCACATACAGTGTGAAAATTAAGCTGATACACAACTGAAATAAATCCCCTTTGTAATCAATAACTATTTCAGGCAAATACCATCCATCCTCCCCTAGGCCCCTGATATACTGACAAATAAACAGTACGCGTCAAATCTGTTTTCCAATTCTGGGTGAAAAAAACATTAAGACACTCCTTCAGGCAGGTCATATGGCAGTCAGTAAACAACTTCAGCTGCACTTTCCAACACACTTGGACAGTTTACGTTCTGGGAAAGGGGCATCAAATAAAAAAAATAAAAAGCATATTCTAGAAATTCCTGTTTAAAACACAGAACATTTGCACAAGTTTTTAAAAGAGCTACTTTTCAGTACTGTTACTACCTGCAGAAGTTCTGCAAGTTCTGTAAGGTAATCTACAGCCTAAGCGACTGTTTTAACATAGCAGGTGTCTTCTGCCACTCTTTGGCATTTTCAAAATTGCTTAGGCTATCTGACCCGAAGGTCATCTCTGAAACACTCCAATTGCTGCAGTGCATGCCTATCAACAAACAGCAGCAGCTGACCCATTTGGAATATTGCTTTCTTTCTTTCTTTATTATATTTATTTATTATGTATTATTTTATTTGTTATAGAAATACTAGCAACTGAACTGTACTGACTCAGTTCAAAAGTAATACTCAACTCTTTCCAGGGGTAAGCAAGAACACATTTCAACATTACTAAGGCATGGCATAGCTCAAAGTCGCTGCAAGAATGGCACCATTCCTTGCTGAGTGCAAAAGCACAAGCAGATTCCCTTAGAACTAAAAGTAACTGGGTTTTGCTCCTTAGTTATTAAAAAAAAACCTAAGAAAATTCACCTTGTGAATGGCAGCTCCTACTATCAGGGCTTCCAGGCTAAGCTAAAGCAACAATTAAGCCCAGACTACTTGCTTCTTTTTTGTGTTAAAGAAAACCTCACAATATTGGAGCCTGAGACTTGAGTACTTTTCCCATCTTGCCCTGTTCCATAATCATGGATGATTACAGTTTCAGGTCAATTTTTCACATGACTAATGACTACTCTTTTTTTTTTCCAATCAAAACAAAAAAAGGAGAAAATGAAATAGGATGGAAGGAAAACGTCACAGAATTATGCACTAATTCTGAAAATTTATAGTCTGAAGTGGTAACACAATTAACTCCTAGTTCATTCCTGTATTTAGTGAATCTGACCATGGACTTTAAGACTTCAGTCACTCAAGAGTCTAAATCAATGCAACCAAATGATCTACAAGTAAAATCAACAACAGATGAACAAGTTCATAAAAGCTTTGAAAGATGTTTATCTTGAAGCAAGTTAGCTCATAAACATTTACAGTAACACATCCAAATGTTGCATACCTCCTACATAAGTTACAAGAATTGGACTTTTCACAACTGTGGAACACATACCAAGTTAAAAATACATACCTTTATGAGATGCATTAATTCAGTAACAAGTCTCACTTTTTGGATATTTATTTCTTTGATCTTTATATTTGCCTGTTGAGATTCCTTCACTAAGTCAATAGCATCTTGTTCCAGCTGTTTTAAACTATGGGAGGAATCAATATTTGATTAATCTTTATCAAAAATAAATTTTTCAAAAATACAAAAATTATTAAAATTGGTAATATTACATAGCAAGAACAGGAATTTGTATACCTAAACATTCCCAATCTATGCACATTAAACCTAAAAAAATAAATAAAAAAAAATTAAAGAAATTCTGATTTTGGCCACTAAGAGCATCACTTAGCAAACATGCTCCTTTACTTCTGTAAATGTCAGGATTAAAAATTTTTTAAAAGAACCCATCAATGTAAGGATGACACTTTTCTTCTGCTGCTAGTTCCTTGCAACAATACAAGACAGAAGAGTTCAGGAGGCCTGCTTAATTCTTATTACATAAACTAATAAAAAAATTTGTGTCCTCAACTTAATGCAGAAAACCAGAATTTTCACTCATTTTAAACCTCAAACACAAGTAATTATGAAGAACTTCATATGAAATAATCATGATGTTTAGTAAGCTGCAAAGCTTTTGGGGATCTTCAAAAACTGCCAAACAGGCCAAAAGGATGATCCAGGAAACTACCAACCAATCATTCTTGCTTTGATCCCTGGGAAGATTGTGCAGCAAGTCTCCTCAGAAACCCATTCTAGGGGCATAAGGGAGAAGGTGATAAGGAAGAATCAGCAAGAATTTACCAAGGGTACCTTGGGTACCCTTATCAGGGTACCTGATGAACCCCAATATAAAATGACTGGATGACAGGAGAAGCGGTTACCATCTACCTCAATTTTAGCAAGGAGTTCCATTAGGTTATCTGATAAAAAGCTCACCTGCACACCCAAAACCAAAAGACAATAGCAGGTTGGGGAAGGCCAAATACCACCCTACCCTGGCTACCCTGAGGTCTGTCACAGGAGCCATCAGCCCATGATATGGTCATCTCCACAAGCCCAGAGGAACACAGGGGCACCCTAGCAGGTGGGACTCCAAATCAAGGACTCAGAGGAAGCAACAGCCTGTGCTAGGACAGTCTCAACACCATTGACCACACATGAAACCCAACAAGTCAACACTACAGCACACTCTGGACTGAGGGTGATGTATTATGGGATGTAGCAGAAAAGTTTTTTGCGAGTCCACAGGACTTAGTATCGGATATTCAGGGGAGAAACCAAATATGGGGAAACAGAGGGATCTAGACGACTTGGAGAGAAACAAATGTGGGAAAACAGAGGGATACAGGGATAAAAGGGACTGTTACACATAAATAGTTGGCTAGTCAATATGCTTGTCCAGCCGTGCTTAACTGGCACTTTCCCTTCTTATCCAATTCCATTTTTCACTCTTTTCCTGGGTGAGGGACTCTCTATTCAGCATTTCTGTGTATGTATGGGAGTGTAAGTGCAAGAAAATACACGTTAGAGCAGAGGGCTTGCTTGTCCACGGTGCCAGCAACTGGCAAGACCAGAGTGAGTAGACGTAAGTGACTGGAGTGGGCCCAGAGGTCAGAGGCCTATGTGTTCATGGTGACAGCGTCTGGGACAAGTGCGGGTGTGCAAGTGAGCATTTGATCCCTAAAGAAGATCAAGTCGGACTAGCTGGCAAGTAGGTGAAATGGCCTGGGAGCCAAGGAGGTATGTGTGTCAGTAAGGGTGAGACCACAGGAGGAGATGGCTACTGGAGTGCCCAGGGGAGTCCAGCCTGGTTGCCAGCGACTGAAGTTTGCTGTCTCTAGGGATGAGACCTGGTGACATGTGTATGATTTAAGTGTAGTGGCTATTGGGAGGGACTAGGCAAGTCATGGCTACGCCTGCACATTTGTATGCCAGTGCGTATCCGAGGGCTACTGGGAAACCAGGGAGTCCCATCCAGTTCTGCATGCGTAAGCACATGAGTGTGGAAGGCAGCCTGTACAGGCAACACAAACAGGTCTGCAGCCTCAGGGGTTTGCAGGTACCAGCAACTGGGGAGACTGACAACAGGGACAGCCACTGTGCAGACTTGAAGTGTCTGCACAATGATCCACATTGGCCGTATGTATGCGCAGGAGTCTCGCTAAGGGAGCACTGTCCTGTGCAGACAGAGTAGGAAAATTATGAGGCCCTTGGTGCTGTGCTTGCCCAGTTCCTCTGTGTGTCTATCTGTCCTATGCCACTGACACTGTGTGTAAATATGTATATACGTGCTGTTTAGATGTGCTCTGTGTGAATGTGTCTTCAGCCTCACTAGTGGTTGCACCTAGGAGCATGAAGTTGCATCAACCTCACCTTCCTCTCAGGCTGCTGGATCCCGACTCATTCCCCTAACTTTTTCCAATGCTGTTTTCCACAATATTGTTGTACTCAAGTTGAAAGACTACAGTTTGGATGGATGGAAGCCCAGATGGGTTAAAAAAAAAACAACAAACCCACAATAAAAAGGTGGCTGGATGGTCAGGCTTTGAGGGTCATGGTTAGTCTGTTGTATTCTGCTGGAAGGAACATTATAAAGTTGGGTACCACAGGATTAAGAACTGGGACCTGTCCAGTTTAACATCCCTGCAAGTGACACAGAGGAGCCACCAGATTACGCTAAACTGGGGGAAGCAATAGGCCTGCTGTTCAGAGGGGTCTGCCGAGTCTGGAGGAAGGGGTTGACAGAATGCTCATAAGACTCAGCAAGAACAAATGCTGAGTCCTGCCCCTGTGAAGGAAGTGGGTCTGGAAGCAATACAGGCTCAGGACAGAGTGTCTGGGGAGCTCTGCAGAAAAGGACTTGAGGTACTGGGGGACAACGAGATGAGCATAAGTGAGCAGTGCACCCTGGCAGCAACAAGGTGCCCCAGTATCCTTTGGCTGTGTCCTGGGTCTGGCGGGGATGGGGTTAATTCTCCCCAGGACCTAGGAGGGACACAAGTATTCCATCCCATGTGAGCCATGCCCAAGGGTTAGCCGGAGCTGCTGGGGAAGGGGGGGGAGGAGGTGACCCCCGGGGGAGGAGAGCGGTTGGGGGCGTCCAGGGTGCAGTCGGCGAGTGGCGGTACCGTCATCGCGGTTGTATATCCCTCTGTTCTTGTTGTTGTTGTTTCTTGCTCCCTTTCCTGTTCTGTTAAAATTGCCTTTGTCTCAACCCACGAGTTTTGCCATTTTATTTTGATTTTCCCCTCCCGGTCTTGTGGCCGTGGGGGCTCTGTTCTGCGCGAGCGGCTGCACCTGGTCCTTTGTTGCCGTCTGAGGCCAAATCACAACAGGCTGTATGAATGGAACCAGCTGCACAAGGAAAGTGACTTTTCCTCTCTGTTCAGTACTGCACCCAGTTTTGCCCCCCGTCCCAAACGTCAAAAAACTGCAGCAAACTTGGGAAGCAGCAAAGATGGCTAGGGCCTACAGCACAGGCCCTGTAAGGACAGGATAAGGGTGCTCAGCTTGTTCACCCTAGACAAGAGACAGCTTTGAGGCACCTAATAGCAACCCCCACTATTCTTCCTACAAGCAGCCCACTGACAGGACAGAACCAGGCTCTTATACAGAGTACAAAATAGACAACAAACAGTGGACCCAAGTTGAAACAAAAAGATCCAGACTGGATGTCAGGAGAAACTTTTTGCCCATAAAGACAGTCAAGCAGTGGAACAGGATGTCCAAACTGGTTGTGCAATGTCTGTGGAGACTTTCAAGGTGCAGTGGGATACAGCACTGAAAACCTGATGTGAATACAGGTGTTGACCTTGCTTTGAGAACACAGCTGGACTACAGATTACATTAAGTCCCTTCCAACTGAAGTGATTCTGTCATTGTATATTACTTTCAAAATTATATCCAGCTTAATTCAGACACTCATATCAATTAGAAACATGAACATTTGAAAATAGTTAGTCACTGCAAGGATTATTTAAATAATTTCTATATCTACAGAAAGACATCCACAATATACAAGAAAAGCCTTGTCTGTAATTGTGTCAGGATTCTTACCCCTATTCAAAATTAAAAATGTAATTTTTTCAAAGGGAATGATTTAACCAATATTTGTTTAGGTAAAGGGTTCACCTCCTTCCTTCAAATTGTATTCTGGTACAACCACCAACTTTCAGAAAATGAAAAGTAGCGTGGTATAAAATCATATGGGAGTATTTGAGGGTACAAGGTCTGCTGGGACTGTGTTACAGGAGTGGAGGGAGGGAAGCCTGGGGCTATCTCATCTACACTGCCTTCTGGGAGCATTAGCTTAAGTGAAATACCTCTTGAGCTATGGCCAGGGTTTCCCTTATGACAAAGCAGTAACAGAAGAACTAATTGCAGAGGCCCACAAAACCAGGTATACATTAAGAGAAATACTGTGGTCAACCAGGGTCCAACTCAATCCCTGACATGCTTCCTTAGTACCATTTTTGTACATTATGGTATTACTAGATATGTGCCACCAAGACAGAAAACTATAGTAATATTGAGTGAATGATTTGTGTCATCACCTGTATATGATGCTTAACAACTGGTTACTTTGCAAGGGTAAAAGCACGCTGCAGTGAGAGGAAGCCAGATTACCTTTGTTATTAAAATTGCTCATGTTTATTAGATAATGTGGTTTGTTTCCTACCTATCATACTTCACACTGATTTTCGATTCCAACTGTCTTCTCCTGTTTCCTCTCTCTACAAGCTCCTTCTTCTGTTGCCTGAGCTCATTGTCTCTGTGTTCCAGATATTTCTGTCTCTCAAACAATGTAGTCAAACGCATATCCAATGACTTTAATGTGTTATTGATGTCCTGAAATAAAAGAACACACACCACTAGCATTCTTACTACAAACACACCACACTAACACGTGGAAGTAGGGTATGCTGATTGGACGATAAAAAGGCAGAGAAATAAATTCCTACCTGTTGCTGGTTTTCCAACTGTCTTCTTTCATCTGTGTCCACTGAACTACTGAGAAACTGTGCTGCCTTCAGGGATGTATTAGTAGAGAGGACTAGGTTTGTATAAGCAGATACTTTAACAACGTATCTTTCATCTGCTGTGTATATTTGCCTAAGTTTGGTTTCTTGTATGACCTAAAAAACATACAAAAATATTGATCTGACAAAACCATTACTTAAGGCAATGCTTTTCAAAACAAGGAATAAACTAGCTAAAACCCACAGTAAAGAAGTTCAGTTTATGAAAGACTCTGATTTGTTAACAAGCCTTTCCGAAAAGATGACGTTAAGATTAGTGTGACATTATATTTGTAATTGAGACTGGTCAGAAAAGAACTCTAAAGATACTGTTAAACAGACTATGCATCTGATTATTCTGATATTGCAAAAAGATACTGAAAAGACCTGCTAATATTTGTACTGCATCATGAACAGGCAGTTAAATATTAACAGGTCTAACAGAACTGGCTGGACAATCACACTCAAAGAGTTGCGGTCAACAGCTCAATGTCCAAGTGGTGTTCCTCAAGGATTGGTACTGGGACTAGTGCTGTTCAACATCTAAGTCAGTGACATGGACAGTGGGATTGAGTTCACATTCAGCAAGTTTGCCAATGACACCAACCCCTGTGGTGTGGTTGACACGCTGGAGGGGAGGGACGCCATCCAAAAGGACTTGGACAGGATTGAGAGGTGGGCCTGTGTGAACCTCACGAAGTTCAACCAAGCCAAGTGCAAGCTCCTGCACCTGGGTCAAAGCAATCCCAAGCACAAACACAGGCTGGGTAGAGAACGGATTGACAGCACCCCTGAGGAGAAGGACTTGACCGTGTTGGTGGATGGGAAGCTAAATATGAACAGGCAATGTGCACTTGCAGCCCAGCTGTATTCTGGGGCTGCATGAAAAGATGTGTGGCCAGAAGGTCCAGGGAGGTGATCCGCTCCCTCTACTCCTCTGGTGAGACCCCTCCTGGAGTACTGCATCCAGCTTTGGACTCCTCAGCACAAGAAGGACATGGACCTCTTGGAGCAAGTCCAGAGGAGGGCCATTAAGATGATGACGGCTGGAGCACCTCTCCTACGAAGACAGGCTGAGAGAGCTGGGGTTGTTCAGCCTGGAGAAGCGAAGGCTCCAAGGAGACCTTACAGCAGCCTTCCACTACCTACAGGTGGCCTACAGGAGAGAAGAGCAGGGACTCTTTTTGAGGGAGTGTGGTGATAGGAAGAGGGGTAACAGTTTTAAACTGAAAGAGGGGAAATTTAGATTAGACATTAGGAAGAAATGAGGGTGGTGTGGCACAGGAACAGGTTGCCCAGGGGAGTTGTGGAGGCCCCATCCCTGGAAGTGTTCAAGACCAGGCTGGATGGGGCTTTGAGCAACCTGGTCTAGTGGGAGGTGTCACTGCCCATGGGGGTTGAAACTCGATGATCTTTAAGGTCCCTTCCAACCCAAGCCATTCCACGATTTTGTGTTCAAGAATTCCCTGTCTGTACAAGCTAGACAACAGATGTCCAGCACAGAGGAGTGAATAAGGATTTAAACTGAAAACCACCTTGTGGGTTACCCATTATAATCCAGCAATGATGAGCCTACAAGAATCCATGGAAGACTACGGTAGAGACATTACTACTAGTGGGAGCTTAGTCTATTTCTAAGAATCAAAGAGGTTTATATACCATTTACCACATCAATTCCAAACAAAGCTATGCAACTGTACTTTCTGAAGTACAGAAACTGAACATTTTAATGTATTAAAAAAAAAAAAAAAAGTAGCTTGTAATCATTGCGACAGGTCAGCATTGTCATGTACTAATAAATGTTTGATCAAAATTTTGCCCAGAATTTCTCAGGCACTTGAAGTAGAAGTTACTATAACAGAACAACTTCATATAAGTGACCTGGAACAGCATTCAGGTGAAAGATGTATTTCACTCTCTGTGAAGTACTGTATTAGATTGACTGGATCTGTTAAAATGTCTTGCAATATGTTTGTGTACAGTGAGCTGTTCTCACTTCTAAAGACCAATTAGAAGGCCAAAGCAATTCTTTGCTTTTTCCACATTAACTTTCAAAAGAATTTCTGAAATAGAACTCTAGACTACTGGTGTGTTTGTGCTATTTAAGACACCTCACCCTTTCAATCATGTTTCTGGTCTTCTCTGTTCCCACAGCGACATCATGAACACGGTACTGGGAGCAAAGATAACTCATTACAGGATGAGGAGCATCAAATAACTCTCGCAAGTATGAGAAAAATCCATATCGGCTGAAGAGGAGAAAAAAAAGCATGCATCAGAAATAAAATTTGGTAGGTAAGCAAGCTGAATTTACTGAAGGGTCACAAAGAAGTCTTGCTAACCCAGAACTGAATTGGTGAAAATCTGACTTGCATAGAAAATTCAAATATATAGCAACAACACCAAAACACTGTATTTAAAACCATTCCCCATTGATGTAATGTGACACATACTGTAATTCTTCAATAGGTCTCGAAGGTAAGTTTTCAGCACATGATTCAGCAGGTGCACATACAGCATTCACTTTTAGTTTCTGATGATCACGCATCTAAAAGTAGATTACATTATATTTTTTGGTAAAAAAATTCATTATATGCAATTCAAGTATTTGTTCTTGATTCACAGAATGGGATTTATTTTAACTGACAACCTCTGGAAGAACCCACAAAAATCCACTCTGGCTCAGGCATGACTAAGTTCTCCAAAAACCAAACTCAGTTGATGTCTCTCCATGAAAATACCATGCATTAGAGAAAACAAAAGCAACCAAAGAAATCCAGAGCCAGGTTCTCGATCAAAACAGCCAAGCTGGATGTAATATGGAAGCCCCCTCTTTCAGGCTGTATGGCCATTTTGCACACATTATAGCAGAACACTGGCTACAGAGGCTCTGAAAAGCTGATCCCCACAGGTCAGAAAAGATTGAGGATACAAATGAAAGACCAGTTCAGCTGATTAAAAGAAGCCTTTGACTGGGTTCTACAACCATGGAGGCAGACAAGCCCCCAGAACCTCAGATATCACCAGTACCATTCATGTATATAGGAATTACTAGCTTCTGTAAAGGGCAGAAAAGGTCTTCAAAAATTTCAGGACATTTTGTCACACTATTATCACACTATTCTGTGGACAGTAGTTGGGAAGCATTATGACAGTTAATGCTGTATCTTGTGGCTTTTTTCTCCTGCGTCATCTCTCTGGTTCTCAGAGGGAGCAATCTCCTTATCGCTCCAGGAAACAACGGTATTAAGAAAATATAAGCTTGATTTGCTGCTTGGATCACTGTGTTCCCACAAAAGATGTCCTCTAGTCTCTTTAGTCAGGAGGCACTGGAAATGTTTTCTCCTAAATTTGAAGCTTCCTGCTCTTGTCATTCTGTTGTACATAGTTCTTTTTAGAAATAACTTTTGTCTTCCTTGACAAGACAACAATCACTGAGAAGAAAATACTATTTTCTTAATATTCCTGCATTTTTCCAGTTGGTTCAGGCTTTAAAAAAAACCAAACACCAGTCTTACCCCAGAAGAAAAACTTAATCCAGAAGCAAACCTTTGAATACTTTCTATTAGTTATTGTGCTGATCTTGCCAATCAAAACTTGTTCAAAGTTTAGGGCTCCTAAATCAGTATTTAATCCATTTTTAAAACTGGTGCCTACTTGCCTCCATAAGAAACATTTCCATATCTTCTTGACTCTCAAAAACGAAAGCCCTCATGTCATTGGCTGAAATGTGATTTTCAACATACTTAGCATGTCTATTGTCTTTCATATTGATCTGTTAAAGAAAGGTAATGAGAAAGTGATTTAATACAACTGGACTTAACACCTCCCACAACACATTTTAAGCAGTCAGATGATACCCAAGCCTACACTTAATGAAAACAAAGACATTTACATGTCTTTAAAGACATATTCCCTGTCTCTTTGCAACCAACTCTCTTGGGAGGAAATCTACAGTAACTCACATGTCATCATGCTTAGTTTTTACCATCCCTATCCTTTCTCAGCACCCACTGTCTTCACCATACCACCTCTCCTGCTTCTGCTCCACCCTAACCTTACAATTGCAACCACCACCATCTTGTGTCTAGTGGCCCTGATCCAGTACTACTGAAGGTATCTCACTATTCAGAAACAATTAAACTCAGGAATCAAAACCAAAAAATGCCACACTCTGCAAATTACTCATATGCAGTTTTCTTTGATTTGGACACAGTAAGCATCACCAAATGAAAATACAGAACTGTGAATCCCTAGAAAGACAGATTGATTGCATTCTCTTTGAATACTTAAAAAATGTAATTAAAAAATCCACTTGTAACATGAGTGAAGCCTTTCGTACCTGAAGGAAAAGTTAAGAAAGTGGCATACAAAGCCAAAATTACACAGAACTACACTATTCAATAACCTCAAGTTAGCTAAAGGCTGGGTGCACTTACTAGCAATTTGAAAGCTAGAATTCGTTAAGTACATGACACTAAGTCACATAATATCAAAGAAAACAAATTCAGACATTAGTGGATATTACAGACGTTAATGAGGCATTAAAGCAAAAGCAAAGGTATCCTATCAAGGCATTTGTAAAATTAACTTGACGGGGTCTTCCAGGAGGAATTGGAATTTCTGATAATAATAGGAAATACTTGGTATTTTATATGAAACAGAAGTAATTTTGAATCGTTCTAGTGCACAGACAAAGCATAAGAATTGGTATGCAAATATTCAACATTCGGTTGTTGAATCATAGCATTATACCATCAAAATAAGCTTTGCAATTCTGGAGAGAAAGAGGAGGAATGCACTGGATTTCTCCATCCTCTGTACATTATATGGAGCATATATGGCACGAGGCTGGGATAAGGGTGAAAGAATGAACTAGAAAACCAATAATCTTTTTGAATATTTAGTCCTACTATTCCTAGCTAATACAGTGGCTGTTAAAACAAAACACAAAACAAAACTAGGGATAGATGAGGTGTTTGTGTCTGTAGCTGGCTGTTCAAAGCAAACCAAAAAAACACCTGGGGCTTATGACATATTGTCACCACTACTGAGCAGGCTGCGCTGTAAGGGGAGGTATTCAATTCTAACTACCACTGATGTTTTTTAGGCAGCAAATAAGAACTACTTCGGTCTAAATAACTGGATGTGCCTTAGAGGAAATCTGCAATGAGGTCCTTAATAAAGGATTGCTTCTTGAGGAGGGAAAGGGAAGGAAAACCCCCTATCCTAGTCAATGCTGAGTATTACTACATTGCCTAAAGAATTAAAATTACAAATAATTCACCACTGACGTAGCCTGCATTTAATTGCAAATTTCAAGATGTGTTTTGAAAGTCTTAAAAGTAATTCTTGAAGTATTACAAAGCGTAAATAAACTAAGTATTAACTGGTTAGAGTGATATGCAAGTAATTTTTCTTACTTCAAGCATCATAGGTTCACAAACTTGTTTTTTAAACTTGTCTTTGTTCTTTCTTAGCCACATAAGAGCAGAGTGTGTGTCTCGGAATCTCCCTTTAAGATTCTCTTCTTTCATATTCATTATATTATTAAGTTGTCCAAGGCGATCAATTATTCCTGTAATTTAAGGCAGTTTCTTAAACGAAGTCTGTAGCAAGTGCACATTATAACTAGAATTTCCCATTATTTATTGACTATGTTACTCCAGCAATAAAGTTGTTAGAAGATTATAAGAATTAAGAGCTTCTATTCCCATAATCAAGATGCTGCTTGTACTAAAAAAACCTTAAGAACTATTAAAGCTCAAAATCTAAAATAAAACGAACTTACCCAAAGTGTAACAAAATACGGTAGCACAGTAACAACATAGGAATTCAGTCCTAAAAACACCCTTCTTCAAAAGCTATTCTACCTTTGTATTTAAAACCAAAAACATGCCAACAGAAAGAGGCAGTGGGACCAGCAACATGTAATCTCTGAGTGTTATTTCATGCTTGCGGAAAAATAAGTATGTGACAACAGACTGTGTGCAAAAGCATAAGCTACTGAGGAGAAACAGAGACTGAGCACTTCCTGTGCTTCTCAAGGTAAAATATGGAGTGCCTCCTTCCCTAGATCATTTGGTCTCTCCATACCTCAGTTTCTTCTTGGGTTCTACGACAAGTGCCAGACAGACAGGTACGTGCAAATGTACTATGTTCACCGAAGAATATATAAAACAAACCCTACCCGCCAAGTTATAATTTTTGGATTTTGTATCTTAGCAAGAACTAATTGTAAATCCTACGCTAGTATAAAGGACTTTACTACAATTAAGGTTAGCTCAAGTCCATCTAGACAGGACAAAAGCAGCATCAGTAGCTAATATACTGCCAAAGAGACAATTTTAAACACTGCATCTTCAAAGCAAACTGCTTTTACTTAGGTTTGTTTTTTTGTATCCTGCTAGCAGTACCCACCTTCATTTAATAAAAGGAAAAAAACTAGACTGCCAAAGTAGTCACCTTACCTAGAGATCAGAAACTAATTTAATTGAAGGATAGTTTTAAGGTCAATTGCCACTTTTGAATCTTCTCGTTCTTTCTATTTTGCAAGCAGTTTCTGTTGCTTTTAATAAAACTGGTAACAGACAAGAACACTGCTATATATGTAAGATATAGCTATGAGACTTGAGGTAAACATGTCAAATTATTTCACTACAGCAGAAAAACATAGATTCTGTATGAACAGTCATTAAAAAAAAAAAAAAGAAAAAAAAAAAATCAAGAAACAAAACCCCAAGTAACTTACTTTTCTTTTCCCTCTCTTGGTTCATTTTCTCTGCTCTTATATCACTGATATCACCATCAATATTTGCCCTTTCTTCTTGTAGTTTTTTCAGCTCGTTATTAATGGCGTCAGTTTGTGGCTGAAGATTCTCAGAGACTGCCACTGTATTGAGCTCATTCTTCCAGTCTTCTATCAACTTGCGAGTATCGTGTATTTTCCTCTGTCTGTCCATTTCTTCATCTTTTTTCATTCTCAAAGCCTGATGTATTTCTTCAATCTAAGAATTTGGAGTATTTCCAACATTAGAGGAGTTTAGTACATGAAACCTGTAACAAACAACTACGGTATCTGTGCAACTGATATTAAATGCTGATGTAACCATGCACTAAAACTGTAGGAGCCTGTTATAGTTCCAATAGACCTATAACAGTTAAAGAACTGACAAGATTTTGTTAAGATTTAGGAACAAAACCAAAATTCAGTAAGACTTGAAATCAATTTTTGAAGTTACTTTAGTTTTACTAAAGCAGAAGCTTAAAGCTTAAGATCTTCCTTAGCACGTTTGAAAGTTAGCCTAAGATTGCATAAAACCTATAGCACAAACTCAATGTGCAACACTGACTCTGCACCCTTATACATTTAATTTATAAATTTCTTGACCAAGTACTTAGATGTACTTCTGTTTTACAACATATCTTTGTGTTTCTTTTTAAAAAATGCTGGATTTACATACATTATCTCATACATTATTTGTAGGCATGTTTAATGCTGAGTTCATTGCTGTACCATAGAGGCTGTAACTTTTCAAGAAAAGCCTGTAATATATAGTAATAAATAGTATGTATACACACACTCTCTATTCCTGTTTGTTGTATTAAGGTAACTGATTTTACATAGCATACACCTGACCCTTAGTGACACCTGTTTGACTAATAGGCATTGCAAAGACTGGAAGGAACAAAGTGTGGAAGCACTTGCAGCTTCTTCAGAGAAATTTACCTCTCTACTAAGAGAAGAGCAGACAACCGCCCCCATATCCGTGTTTTACTGCAGAATTTAAGCAGCACCATTCCATCTGAATACAGCATATGCTATATCTAGTACTGAATTAATACATCAGCAAAGAAACACCAATAAAGTCACAAATATCAAGACTCACTTGTTTGTCTTTCATGTCCAAAGCATCTTGCTTCTGTTTACATTTTTGAGAAGTGTCTTTGATTTCAGTGGCCTGCATAAAGTAAGATATTTAAATTAGGTAGTCACAAGTTCAGTTAGTTATATTTGTAAAAAGCAGTCATATTTTAAAGAACATTCTATATATGCATAACTAAGTATTTATTCAACATTTTATTACTGACAAAGTCATACTCATCAGATTCTTACTATTCGTACTTTTACCTGTAACATAGATTTTCAGCAATTTGTGAAGAATTGCAAAAATGGCAGACAAACTGTTCACAACCATTCAGCTATAGATCTGCAAATTCAGGCATGACAGATAGACGAAGTCTCCAAACCTAATCTGAAATTAAAATAACTCAATCCTCGATTTCAATAAAAATGTTACATTCAGTTCCTTACACTTACAAAATGTTCTTGCCTCTTTTCTCAAACTAACTTTACTGAAGAAAGCTTATATTTGAAGCAAGAAAAGCCTAAATTCCAACACACAGGACAGCCAAAACAGAATTTGTCAAAGCCACTCTTCCTCTCAAGTGCATTGTGCTAAAGCTATATCCTACTCAACTGAGCTTGACAACTTGTTGGCTCATGTGTAGGCATGTCTCTACTCTTTCTCCATCCCTCTCAGCTTCTACAAGAGCTGTAGAATAGTATAGGTTGGAAGGGACCTCTGAGCATCATGTGGTCCGATCCCCTGCTCAGTGCAGGTCTTATTAGGTCCACTTGACCAGACACTTGTACAGCTGAGTCCCGAGCACAGTGAAAGCGTACTATGCTTTCTCTACTAACTTAATTCCTCTTCCCCTGAACCCTCAAAACTGCAAACAGTGCAAATAGAATACCGGAAGGAGGATGGAAGGAAGTTAATTTCAGTGCAGACATGGAAACAAACAAGCACAGCACTCCTGCTGGAAGAAATGTCTTCCTACAAACCGAGTCACACTGAAAATGCTGACATATCAAGAATGGAGAAAATAAAATTATGCAGAATCTTTTCCCTCCCACAACCTGAAAGACACACAAAAATTTAAGACTCTGACTCTACAACTCTTTGTATGAAGGCAACACAGAATAACACATCTTGGTCTTGCAGTTGACTGTAATGCATTACTGATTCCACGATGCTCTCTCCAAAGATCTCAGGCAGGCACTCTGAAGAGAAAGCCTTCTCCCAGGAAATTGACACAAAATATTCACAAAACAATTCTAAAGGTTCCCAAAATCAGGACACTAGTAAGGAACTGGAATTCAATTTATATATACACCTACCTTGCAGAACAGATTAACAACTGTAATTGTCTTTAAGGTTTTCATGGTACAATCACACCACACTTCTTCATACTCTCAAATACTGCTAGAAAAATTGTGTTGGATAGTCCACTCCGTTCAAATGACTTCCAAGAGCCTAAAGCAGAAACTTTTCTAAGCTTCTCTCACACAATTTGATCAACCTCTTCCTACAAAAAGGGTCAATTTTTCTTTTCTCAGAATCTATACATCCAACACACCCAAAGCACAAAACTTTACTAAGAATTCTTAGTCTAATCAAATCCTTAAAAGGGTTTTAACATACAGAGACAAGAGAAACAGTCATGCAATGTCTCAATACGTTAATTTCTTCCCAGATTTAGTGCTGCCTTTACTTTCAGTCCAGATCCCTCCAGGCAAAATCTATAATGCCATGCCTGGCTTTTTGCCAACAAAGTGCAAACAAGACATAATACATAGTTATCTCTGCTCTCACATATATATACTCAAGCCAACAGCAAGATCTCAAGAAGCAGTCAGGATTATGGTTATTTGATAATGGATATAAGCCTGGACCAAAGGGTCTGAAGACAATTATGTTCCCTACAGGTCCATGTGTCTAAGACAAAGAGGACTTAAAATGCTAAACTGCTTTCCCTTAATGCCAAATTTGGCTAGAAAAAAAAACAACTTTGGGGCCTAAAATAAAGTTATACTGTTTTTATAACAGCATCATCCATTAATCAACTCCTGCCATCTTACAGCATAATTATCTGTGAAATGCTCACCACATTCTTGCATCTATAAAGATAAAATTCTAACTTAAAATCAATTCAAGCAGCATCTATAAAAAAGGGAAGAACTAATGAAGAATGAGTAATTTAAGCAATTTTAAGGTAAGGTACTTAAACGCCCTAAGGTTTTGCCGTAGGTCAAAATTATTTCCTGATAGTGTAAGCAGCACTGATTCTCTTTTAAAAGAACTTCATTGTCACAGCCCAACTAAGGGAATATGTGGGAAGGAAACATATTTCAGTACCCAAAATGAGCTACTGTTAAAAAAAGTTCAAAAAGTAGCAGTACACCTCTAACATCTTGTTGATTTCTCTGATGTCATACAAATTTTTCATGCCATAACCAGGTATATAATGTATTTCCATAAGACTTTTTCCATTATGTCGGACTCTACAGGGGATTCTTAAAAATGAAATATTTATCATTTTGGATATAACATTTAATATTAGAACAAAACTGAAGCTTAGAAACGTCTCATTATTGTGCAGCATAGTATCAGATATATATGACAATCAAAATAATGGTAAATAGTCTCTGAAAAGTAGTATTAGAGTATCTCAGTAAGTCTTCTATAAGTTATTTATTTCAATTATAGCATCTTTCCTCTTTCCCATGTTTTTGGCTTCTGGAATAATGTAGAAGAAAATACACCCAACTTATTCTCTGGGCCCAAATTAAACATCACTTCAGTTAACCTTGCGAATCTTTAGTATGTGAAAGCTGTATTCTGCAAGTTTAGACTGAGCAGAAAAGATTCAAGAGTGTAAGTCAGTCAGCTAGTACATGCCCCCAAGTTACTCTTTCACAGCTCAGTAGCAAATAGCCTACGCTGAGCATGCTCCCTGCAAGTTAAAACTAAAATGCTGGTTTGTCCTAGGTTTCTCATACAGACTATAAATCATACCAAAATAGGATAACTTTTATTGGAATATAGCCCAATACTTCTAAGAACTGTGATAGCAATGGTTCAGTAGAATTCTTTCTTATTTGAAAAAATATATTAGTATAACATCAATTGAAATGGAAGATACGAGTAAAACCTAGCAGGATAATACCAAGCAGTGAAAACAAAGCTTAGCACTTCACAAACATGAAGGCCCTTATCGCATTATGAAAATTAATTTCAAGCTTCAAGCTGTTAACTTCCCTCTACGGAAGTACACATAGTCTTAAACAACAAAACGCCACAAAACAAACAGAAAAAAAAACAACCCAACCACACCCCAAAAAAGCCCACTTCAATAAAACCGGAAGATTTTTAAACATTAAGGCATTTTGAATCAGAGCATAATAAACACTTGTAGTGCTGTTGAGCACAAAATTCAAAGAATATATTTAGCAAAGGGCTTTCTTAATAATAATAATAATAATGTACTTGGGTAAGTAGTATTGCCTGGTACACTTTACATCACAAGAAAAACAGAAGTGCTCTGAACAACAGTCTGTGGGGTTTTGTTTGTCTGGTCTTTCTGGTTTGTATTTTGGTTGCGGGGGGAGGAGTGTTTCCTTAGGGGGAAGGGTGTGTGTTTGTTTCAAGAAAGCACATGGACAGTGCATTGGCTCACAGTGCACTAAATGCCACTGAAGTGTCAGACCATGATTCTGCAAGATGTTTCATTACAGCAGTCCTCTACAGGTGTCAGACATGTCTCCACGCCCAGTTCTTGGGTCTGATCAGTAACCTTCAAGCAGAACTCCCTGCAGCAAACATTCTCATGGTATCATTTAACTTTATTTATCCACTAAAAATTTGTGCAGCCTATGCATGCAATGATAGTACCTGCAGCCTGAATAGTACATGCTAGTTAAAATCCTGCAAAGAATTACAGTACTTTCCTATTTGTGATACCGAAAAAGTAATTTTCCATATCCTCAGAGTGCTAGTTAAAATCCTGCAAAGAATTACAGTACTTTCCTATTTGTGATACCGAAAAAGTAATTTTCCATATTCTCAGAGAGAGCAGCTATTCAAAAAACAGATACCAAAGCTGTTAAGGCATAGATAGGTTTACCATTAAATTCTCTTACATATAGAAGTATTCACAGCTGATGGAAGATTACTGTCTAATAAAAAAAATTATACTCTACTTATGGACTTAGGTTAAATATTAGAGGAATGCTTTTAGGCCAGAAAAGTTGTAATTTAACTTAAATTAACTAGTAAACTGGCTACATTTTAAGATGATAAATAGAGCATCCACAAAACTGAGCAACAGAACAGGTGGAAATAGGCAACTAATTCAATATAAGTATCTAATTTAGGGAAACTATAAAATTATATCCCTGAAGGTTCTATGAAGAGAATTATAAAATTTGCTTACTCTTATAATACCAAGACAGTGGACTTTCAGAGTTGCTACTGAAGGTTTACTAAGAAATGCATTCTTTGAATTTTAGTGTTTTTAATGGAACAAAGACATGGAGAAGACAGTGAGAGCTGAGGGCATGAGTTATTTCAGAAAAATTTCTTCTGAAACACATTAGTATGGCGCATAGAAAGAAAGAGGCCATTGGTTAACACTTTCCAAGGCTGAACATGAAACACCGGAAATATTACATACAATAACCAAGAACTTAAAATGCTTACCTTATCTCTGATTTTCATATCCAGACTCTTAAAATATTCTTCAGTTTCTTGGATTTTTTTTGTTACTGGGGACTGCAATTCTTTCAGATGCTTCAGCTCTTCCTTGGCTTGGTCTCTGCTTTGTTTCACATCCTCATGCTGCTGACGAACATTTTCATATTCCTTGGAAGTAAAGCAATTAAAGACTTATGTCTTCTGTTCCAGTAGTTTAATACTGCCCTAATATTTTATTGAACTGTACATGAGTTTTAGGAGAAAAAGTCTCATTCAGAAGCTAATATTACAGCAACTACTTCAGTAATCCTCCTGCTACTAGTCACTATGACTCGGAGATGTAGGGACCATTTAGCCTCCAGCGAAAAAGCACATATAATATGCAGTTTAAGTAGCAAAAGAAATGACCAATTTCTCTGCAATTACCTTGCCTCTAAGACCATCTGGGACCGGTGTGGAAAAAGTAATTGGTGAGCCCCTTCTGTCCATAGTTTGAGCACTACTTAGGCAGAAGTCCTCAAACTAAGACACAAATAACCACAGAAAACTTCAGGAGAAAGAAAAGAAAGGAGCTGGACTCATCAGAGCTGGTAACAGACATAACCCTGAAGTAAACTAAGGAGAGAGACAGAGTGGAGTTTAACTGGAGATGCATTCCTGAGAAGAAAGAGATGGTAAGTTGCATGGTGATCAAGAACATCCACTCCAAGAAGGTGGGATTTAGGGTGAAGGAATCACTACTTGTGATTTTTTTGTGTTATGCACTCTGGAGGAAAAAACAAAACCCCCCCACAAATAGAACAAACCCCTCCAAAAAAAAAAAAGAAAAAACAAACAAAGCAAAACAAAACAAAAAAAGAATATGAGTTTCAATGACTGTTAAGGGTTCATGACAAAAAAAGATGCTCGGAGGACCAAATGGAAAAGGAGTAGATACATGTACATGGGATTGCACAGGAAGGGAAAACTGTTGGATTTGGGAGGCACTAAAGAAAGCTTCTGGTTTACAGTACATATCTGGATTATTCCAAGCTTCTTTAATTCTATGATGTGGAGTATGATCACTACCCACCATTATAAAGTTACAGAGGTAAAGCAATTGTACTTCCGCTTAGCTGATACAATAAGCTTAACATTTAGCTCTTCTGTAAATAAGGTATTACATTTCAAGGTTGAAGCAAACGTACACACATACACCTCATTTTTTCAGGTACAAACAACAGGCAAGTTTCCCAAGAAATTGTCATGACTTCTTTGTTATACAGCAAATCCCTTTATCACTTTAAGAAAACCTGACTTATAGTAGACCTCTGTATTTTAGTAACCTGTAAGTAGATAACCTTGATGCTTGCAATTACGCATTTAGCCTCCCAAGAGATATTTTTGCTTAAACTACATAGTAAAGCTTTTCTCTATTGTGAAAGGAAGAGGAAGAAAAGAAGAATGGATACAGCTTGGTGAAAATACATTTTCAGAATTATGTGTTTGCAGGAAATTTACAGTAGGACGAATAGCACCTCCTGCTGCTATACTACCTTAGAACAATATACCTTATGGTATTCTGTAATACCTTAAGCTTTGAGGGGTAAAAAAACCCTTTTCTTTAAAACCCTACAAAAGAAGGGCTATGTCAAAAAAACCTGTAGCTCCTTAGATCTGCTCACCGATTGCAGATGACACAAACATTTGATGAAAGTCCCATTAAGGTGCACACAAGATCATAAAATGTCCCCTAAATCTTTGAGTCCAAATCTTTCACATTGCCATTTCACGGAATTTAAAGCAGATGCTCAAAAGCCTAATAGACATAGACACATATAAAAATGGTGTATAATCCTCCACATACAGAAGCAGATGGCATTGACTAGAAAAGACATCTATCTCCTCAGGTGAAGATTAGCAGAGTCTTCAGAATAAAAATGCAGTTCTCCAGTGTTCAAACAGTAAAACAAGTTCAGTCCTAGACTGCCTCTTTTCCATTGTAACCAAGAGACTATCCAGCATGTTATTTCAGTTGATCTGTTTTCAGGCGGTCTGTCTTCTCCATTTCATAACATACTGCAGTGTTTATACACCTGCCTCCTGGTTATTTTGGAGGCTCACCTAGCTGTTCTCTTTTGTTACAGCAGCAATTCTAAACAGCTAGGCAAGTTTTGTCCACAACTAGAAATCTACCTTTTGGGAAGAATGGGGGAAGGGAAAGATGTACAGAAGGAAGAATAAACTCCAATGCTACTCTCAACTTTGGTGAACCCACTTTTAATACATCAAAAACAGTGCTACGTCAGATGACAAATAAATACGCTCTTCTAAGAGAATGCATTTTTTCTTTTAAATAGAGCTTGGTATTTTGAAATATAGGAAGATACCAAGAGATCTATGAGAAGGATTTGACAAATCACAAAACAGCAACTATCTTGTATATTGAGGATCACAATGGAATGTGAAATTCTGTTGTAGCCTGTAGGTCAAATATCTTCTACCTAGTAAAACAGTTATGTTGATGACCCTTGATTTCACCTGTAGATTATCCACAGGCAAGTGACTTCTGATAAACAATCTGCTACATGCTACTGATGCTGTATTACAAATTGGAACTTTACGCAGGTGTCAAAACACACTATGGATTCAGTGGCCAAAAAGTCAAATTTCTCCAAATTGAGTGCACCCACCAAAAGTATTTAATACACTCAGCAATGCAAACTGTCTAGAAGATAGCAGTGAAAGACAGTGTGAAGAAGCCTGTCTAAATTTGCTTAAGAAACACGTAAATAAAAGCACTGTTCTCAAACTTATGGATGGCAATCTAACAGACAGCAGATAAAATTCCTAACTTAGTTTACCCCTGCCAGTTTCTGACCAGCCCTCAGAGTTCTGCATCTGCAAATATCTTAAAGTAGAGAACAACTGGTATCATTCTACATTAACTATAATAAAATAACTCTCTCTTCTTTTTAACTAAGACAGCCTAATGCATGGCTAGTAGGGAAAACCTGTATCATTCAGCAAGTGCAGAAGTCCAATCCTAACAGCGCAGAGTGTACAGTCCACCTCCATAGCACCTACCACCATCTGCCTATTTCAACCGCTGCTCCTATATCCCTCCATGCTGGTAGCACAGAGGTTTGAAGGTAGTGAAAGTACCTTCCCTGAATCCCATTGCTCTTCCAATATAAAAGGAACATAAAGTTCTTTGCATACCCATGCGAGAATTTGTTATCTGCAAAATACCTTACAAAGGTTTTCTACATCCTCCACAAATACTACATATAAGTTTTCGTAAGATGTATCTGTATTTAATTCTACAAAGCTTGCAAACAAGACAAACAACATATTGCTTCAGTATAATAAAATCCACATCACTTAAGCTGTTTATAAATAATTTAATCTGACCATTCAACATTAAACTAAACAACAATGATCAAAGTACTGTTCAGAAAGACTTATTTTGCTTTGTATAAGTGACCTTATTGTTGATTCAAGGCTCTTTTAAATTTCTTAAATTTGTCTACAATGTCCATGTCTCCAAATGCCAACATTTTTGAGACTAGCAATCTATATTCACCGTGGTTTGTCATGCACACCAAACCTCAACTAATAAATTAAAATTAGCAAGGGAGGAAGGCAACCTGTGAAAAAAAAACAACAACCAACACCAAAAACCCCCAAAACCACGTTCTGTTAAAAACAAAAAGTTAGTCAAAATTAGGCTTAGGACAGTATTTCCAAGCAACTGTAATGATGTTCAAGTTACTCTGGTCAAATTACTTTTAAAAAAACTTTTGGCAATATTTCTAATATTGCAGTATTAGGAAAAAATGTTAGGTAATAAAAAAAACACTGAAAAGAAAATAAAAACTTACCACCCATGGCCTTTTCCTCTCAAGCATCTCTATTAGGTCTAGATGGCGCTTGCGCTCATGGTATCTCTCAACATCTTGTTTGTATCGTTCAATCCTCTGTCTCATTTTCTCCAAAGAGTTAGCTTTCTCTCTGCATAAGTTCTGTAAGAATATACATTTTCGTGTTTTACAGTATCTACTTTGTGAAAACAATTTTCAGAAACAGTCAGCACCTCACCTGTAAGTTAAAGCAGAAACTTGCCACGAGAGAGGAATTTTAGTACAGCATTAATTAGATGAGAACAACCCAACTAGGAATAGTTTTCCAGCTTTTTTCAAGTATGTTTATCACATACTTTCTTTGAAAACAAATCTAATTTAAAGAGCCAAGTTTTTTTTTATTATTTTCTCAGGAAGATACTCCCTACATCTCAAGCCTCCATTAATGTAGACATTTCTAAACCACCATAAGTGCTTTTTATAACTACAAGTAGGAAAAATGCTTGTGAAAGATCTTGTAAAGATTTGCAACAGAAACATTAAGGTTGGTATGTGAACGTAGTATGTATGAAATGCTTGTGTGCACACAAGCACAAGAAGAAACAGCGGAACAATAAATTAAATGAATGGCCCGTATGGCTACCAACAGACACTGTTCCCAGAAAACTGTGCCCAAGGCACCGTTCCCAGTAATAGCAGTAATAGCAAGGATTACATTATTTCTGCAAAGATTATTAAACCTGCACTCTGGTAAAATCAGGGTGCAAGTAACTGTCAGGGAAAGACCCTGCCGCCTTAAATGAGGATGGCAACAAGGTTGCAGCTTATTGCATACACTCTCCCTTCTCCTCCTGGCCTGTTACATTCCAAACCAGGAAGAACAGGTAGCAGGCAACAATATTGCCCATACTTTATGGAAGTTGAAGTCAGCAGGATTAAAGCAAAGGACCACCCTACAACAGCTGATGACTTACAAAAGGATGAAAGACCAGTCCAGAAAACTTGTTGCCAGTCAAGAATCCCAGAGAAGTGATGAGTACTTGACAACTGGCACCCCTTGTCTTCTACATCCACACCCCTAGCACATGTCTTTGTGCTTACAAGCACGTGAGTGTTGGAGTGAATAAATTCTGGGAGCAGATGAGCGTGATTTTGTAAAATCAACTTACCACAGACTTTGTAAAAAAAAAAAAAATACCACCTTCTAATTCTGTAAGATCTCACATTACATTTCATCATGCTAATTTCCCTATAGTCACTCCCTTCTGTCTCTATAATGTGCATGTTTACCTCCAGTTCTCTTTCTTTTTCTCTGAAGTTTTTCAGTTCACAGTGATATTGGTACATTTCTGGAGGACCGATGGATTTTTCAGTGGCTTCAAGCAACTCAATCTTACTCAGTTTTGCAAATTCTCCAACTTTGTCCTACAAAATAAAAAAAGTTACAAAAATATCGTACTAGTTAGAAGAGAGCAAGACAGTAATACTGGATTTAAATAATACAGCAATACTGGATTTAAATACTGTAATTTACTTGTCATGAACACCACCTGACCTACTGTCCAATGCCAGTGAAGTTAAGCATAGGATGGCTATCTCAGACTAGCAACAAAATCCTCCTAAACATTTTTAAGTGTTCATCCATGGTTTTCTTGGCGCTGTTCTGGAATGATTTAAGCTTAAATCTTAGCTGTTCTTGACTGTTTGACAGCTTTTGAGGGTAGCTGTTGAGGACATGGGGTTAGTTCGTTATTTTTGAATTGGCTAACATTCTTCTGAACAAGACAGTTTAGTACAACTAAAGTTTTTATTCAACTGTATTCTTAATATTGGTTCTCAGGCTGCTGAGGCTACACCTTCCCAGCAGAAATGCTATGATTAATTCAAAAGTTAAGCAATCTAGAAGTTAATATATAAGGTTGGCAACCTAGGGTATCAGAAAGCACTGCTGCTGTCTAAGAGCTCAAAACAAAGACTGGAGTGAATGGTGTTCTTGCCATTGCTGCAGTGGCAGAGAGCAAATAAACCAGAACTTTCAACACAGTAATATTCACTAAACTGACATTTATGTACTAATGAAAAAAAAGATGTTTTAAATAGAAAAGTTATGTTGGTAGAGCATGCAGGAAGTTCTACTCTAAATAAATATTAGGAATATGTAAACAAATCCCCCTACTCCGAATATTTGTTTCCACAATATTAGCTTTCAAAATTTTCATGCTTTTCATCATGTCTTCTTGAATGCTACTGTCCTCAAATAGAAAAATAAACTCATGGTCAGCTAGGGTCTGGTAAGGTTTTTTTTTACTACCATCCCTGACAATCCACATGGACTGGGAAGGTCTTAGGAAGGAACCTGCCATAGCTTTTCTTTTTTTTTTTTAAGGTGGAACTGTGAGGCAACTTTGTTATCTGCACAGAAATCCTGACATACTTGCGCATGGATTTACATACGGAAACTTCCTGAGGTATTCTTTAATCTCTCTCCTTGAGGAGCAATTTTCCATCAGGATATTTTACACTTACATAACTTGATCCTACATATCTTTAAGTCCTACACTGTTGCTCAAGAAACTGCTGAGCCACGGACATTACAGAAAAGGCTCTAGTAGTAGTCTCCGTTGCAACTACGGAGTCATTTAGTAGGATTGCTCTGATTTTTGGAGAACAAAATCCAAGAAACTCTTTCCCTTCACTTACCAAGTACAAGATCCAATCAGGAGGAACTGCCTGGATATAACCAGAGAAAAGTGCATGTAGGGATGCACTGGGAAAGTCAGGGATGCATAACTACAGGAACCATGCAAGTAAAGGTACAGAGACAGTGGCAGATCTCAAGACCTTACAGAAATTTCCCTACAGATTTGTTGTTTAAGAACATCCCTACAGCAGTACAGACAGGGCCAAGAGATACCATTGTTAGTGCTGCTACTCAAACACCAACATGGGGAACATCAGCAGCTTTCCTTTCACTGTCAACTGACAGCAGGTACAAAATCATCCAATCAGTGAGCCTTAAAGGTCACACAGTTCATCCTTTCTCTCACTATCAGACCAGTATGGCTACCTCATCCCTTTCATTCTTCTTGCTGTCCCATTAAATCACTGAAGTGCTACAAAAGCTAAGAAGCAACAAAACCCTCTCAAAACACAGCAATCCATTTGCACTCACTGGCTTTCAAAATTCATTCATACCTGAGGAAGAAACTGGCACAAATTGTCCACCTGAATGTTTAAGGCTGCAATCTGCTCTTCTACCGTTTTCAAGGTTGCTGGCTTTCTGTTGATAAACCATGCTGATGTGTTGTTCACCACCTGAATCTCACGTGTGATAATGATATTGTCAGGTGCCTTGGACCTGATGAATAAAAAGAAGTGTTTACACTTTTGAGAGTATGCAAAGGTTACCAAGTGTCGAAGTATGTTAGGGTTATGCCACTCAAACTTTAAGATATCTAAACATTTAATATAAATTAAATGGAGGACAGTAGCAGAAGATTCACATTTCAGAAAACATCCAGTACTTCAGTGATTAATTAATCTCACACGGCAAACATCAAGAACACCTACAAATCTTAACTCAGAGGAAGTTATTTATATAAATGGCATACTCATGCTGAACGTATGAACCATTTAAAAATTGTAACAGATGTGAATAGTTATATAAAATGTATATAAAATTGGTACGCAGGAGGTGCAGAGTAACACTATGCCTTTAAAGTAAAAAAATATTAGTGTACAGAACTACATCAATGAGTCACATATATATACACATATTCCATTTGGGAATAAAAATAGTACCATGCAGCATGAAAAATACTAATTTGTTTTCATTTTCTATTTTTAAAGAACAGCAAACATGCACTAGTTGTCCACACAGTTCTCTAGCTCAACAGTTATCTTCAAAATTTTAGCCTGGTTAAGATGCATCAATAACAAATGAGCAATGAGATAGTCATAAACTCATGAAATTTTGGTCACCATTTTGATTAAGAAATTGACCAGTGTCTGTTCAGTCAGCATATTGTTAAAGATGAAGGATAAGGGCTCATAACAGTTTGAAGGCCCTGTATCTTAGCAGACTTCAGAATAGAGCTCAAAGTAGAAGTAATCCAACAGCCATCATGATATGAGGCTACTTCTTGAAGACTGTATGATTACCTCCTCCCAAGTACCCACTTTACTATAACATTCCAGGATTCCTTCAAAAGGCCTACAAAGCCATGCTCCTTTCTTTTATAAAATTAAGGACATTTTACTACTATAACTCTTGATTTTAATTACAATCAAAGGGCCAAATTCAAGCAAGACATTGCTTGCTTATAGAACTGAAATTTTTAAATTCCTGTCGAAAAGCAAACTCCTGCATCATTGCTCTCTCACCCTAGATATTGCATTTAAGTACTGTCTACCAATTAGACTGGATTATATTGCAACCACTACAATAGAAATGTTAAGTCTTCACATTCTGCAAGTCCCTCTTCAGACTTTCAAGTAACATTGGGATGTATCTATGTTAAAACAATCACACCGTCTACCGGAAACACATCCCACCTCCTGACCCACTGCTTGACCAGTCTCCAAAGAATGTCTTACTTGATTACTCCCACAAGAATGAAAGTGGATAGGATTTTTTCAAAGTCTTGTTCCCGTATATCTTTTTTCCTGTACACAATTTTCTTTTTATACAATTTGACCAACTTACAGGAAGCATGTAATCTTGCCCTGTAACCATAAGTTACTGGTGGAATTTTACAGAGTACGTTCTAATGATTTTCAGTTGCTTTGCTTTGCAAAAGCTTACCTATAAGACTGCATTAGCTGGAGGAATTAATCTGATCTATTTTTTTTTATTTATTCTTTTGTTTCAGTATGCAATGTTTTCAGTAAGAATGTAGAGGAGTCCCTCATACCAGCAGTATAGCATAAGGCAGTGAAGGCAGGTCATCTAGTTTTCTTTTTTCTATTTTAAAAATAATTTCCAAACACTACATCATGATGGCAAAACTGACTGAATCTGCATTATCTGAACCTTAAATGCAATCAAAAGCTAAACATGCTATATACATCAAACTTTATCTATACATTCTTTGCACATCAAGACAAGGTAAAATGCTTTAGAAAGTGAAATCAAGACCAGCCATGACTGCTTATTTCTTATGTCATAATTATTTAACCTTAAAATTTCAAAATCTGGGTTAAAAAAAAAAAGTAAATCATCAGCTTAAAGACAGACCTCTGTACACTAGATTTTTTTCACAACTTTATGACTGACTATGTAGGGAAATATCTAATTAAAAATGGATGAGGAAATACAGTTTTATTACTTACAGTTCAATTTCTACTACACCTTTCAGGCACCCCTGCTTCACAAAGAGACCAACCTACAAAATTAATTACAGAAATTATTATCATAAAATAACAGTGTATTAAAATGTAATCTCTTACAAAAATATGTATTTGTATAATAGGGTTGCTATAATGGGATATTTTTTTGAAAACTTATGATTAAAACCTACAATTTATTTTGGCTGTATATTAAATAAAAATAAAGGAAGACACTATTATCTTCCTTATCAACTAGTAGCATTAGAACTTCTTCCCTAGGTTAACAATTTCAACCTCCAAAACTGAACCAATTATAATCAGCAGATCCACAGAAAGGAAGAAATTCTCATGAACTCAGGGAAAAAAAGCAATACAAATGAAAGACACTGCTGAATATCTATAACAGCAGAACCGCCAATTCTAACAATATAAAAAACTATCCTACAAATACAAAAAACCAATGAAAATAGCAACATACAGGGCTGCCATGCAGTCAATTTACATATTTATATTTGCCTGAGTTGCAACCAGAGAATATGTACAACCATTTAGGCACCCAGATTCAGTACCCCAGAAATCTACTGAAATATAGTCCATCCAACCAGAATTTCCCAAGAAAGCAAAAGTTAAAAATCTGACAATACAAACTTCCTACTATGTCAACGCACAATCTCTTGGGAGCAAAAAATGAAAATAATAGTAGTACAACCCAAAACAATCCAACATCCATTTAAATGAAAGACCAGTGACTCCATGCTTTTAGATAAATTCTCAGACACATTAAGATAATGTTATTTCTACAGTTTCTATATACCTCGAGAATTAAGTTAGACTTTTTTTTCCATTTCTCCTTTAGTTGGTATTTCTAATCAAATTTTATTTATGCACCTGTTGGTGTTTTTCTCCCTCACTGTGGAGGCTTAGACATTTTGAAATATAACCTCTAGTCTACTCAGGTTCTAGTACAATTCAGGTGTTTCCATTTCATAATTCAGCCAAGACAACAAAGTCAAGTAAGGCAAAATCCCTTTGATAAAAGCCTTTGTCTCTGCCCTAGGTTATTCTACAATTTGGACAACTTACTTTTTATAAAAATAAAGCAAATCAAGGAACACAGTCTTTTTCCCCCTCCTTGGCTGCACAGGGCTCTTAATGAAATTCAAATTAAACACGAAAATTCCAAAAGTTCATAGTTACCTTATCAGCTCGGCCTATGAAAGAAGGTTTTCCAGCCAGTCCCAGGCAGATGGCACAAACAATGCTTGACTTTCCTGTTCCATTAGCACCTACAATCATGTTCAGATTGGGTCCTGGATGTACTTCACAAACGTCATATGTTCTGGAAAACATAATAATTTCTTTAACCTTATAAATACTATCTCACTTTGAAAAAAATTTACCTGCTTAAAAGCATTTCACCATAATATTACATATGACATAATTTTATCAAATCTAGCCTCAAACCTCCAATACTGTTTTGTAAAAAAACTTAGAGTGAAATCTAACACTCCAATAAAACACTGGGGAATACACTGCTACCAGCCTGAGTACTTACAGTAATTTTCTTCAAAACAAATTATTATAAAGAATGAAACCTAGTCACATAATGACAATTTCTATTGACCTTACTAGGCTATCATATTATTTTACATGTTGAAAAAAAAAGAAAAGACAGAAGGAAAATTGAGCTAATTCAGTCAAGACTGCTACATTTAATTCCAGCTGAATGCTGCACTGCAGACATAGAAGGAGATTCCGCTCCCCTAACCCATAAAATGTACTTGGGTCTTAAGCTCTGCAAGAATGATAGAACCATAGAATGGTTAGGGTTGGAAGGGACATTAAAGATCATCGAGCTCCAACCCCCCTGCCCTGGGCAGGGACACCTCCCACCAGACCAGGTTGCTCAAAGCCCCATCCAGCCTGGGCTTGAACACTTCCAAGGATGGGGCATCCACAGCTTCCCTGGGCAACCTGATCTTGTATCTCGCCATCCTCACACTAAAGAATTTCTTCCTTATATCTAGTCAAAACCTACCTTCTTTGAGTTTAAAACCACTACCCTTCGTCTTACCACTACACTTCCTGGCAAAGAGTCCCTCCCAATCTTTCCTGTAGGCCCCCTTTAGGTATTGGAAGCCTGCTATAAGGTCTCCCTGGAGCCTTCTCCAGGCTGAACAACCCGAACTCTTTCTCCCTGTCCTCACAGGAGAGGTGCTCCATCCCTCTGATGATCTTCACAGTCTTCCTCTAGACCCACTCACAAAGGTCTGTGTCCTTCTTATGTTCGGGGCCCCAGAGCAGGATATGCTACTTCAGGAGGGGCCTCACCAGAGCAGAGAGGCAGAATCACCTCCTTTGACCTGCTGGCCATGATGCTTTTGACGCAGCCCACAATATAAATGTGCTTCTGGGCTGCCAGTACACCTGCCAGCTCATGTTGAGCTTCTCATCCATCAACATCCCCAAGTCCTTCTCCTCAGGACTGCTGTCAGTCCATTCTCTACCCAGCCTGTGTTTGTGACTGCTGTGACCCAGTGCAGGACCTTGCACTTGGTCTTGTTGAATTTCCTAAGGTTCACATCCCTTCCCTCTGCGGAACTCTGTATGGATACATCATACAGTAGCTTCCTTGAGTTACAAGAAGCAAAAACATTACCCTGTTATCAGTGATACTTTTTTTTTTTTTAAATTGTATCAGACATCTTTCATTGTGTGTATCCAGCATGCCTACTGCAATAGCAACTACAGGAAGAGACCAAGCCCTAGCATCCAAATTCAAGACAAGACATTAATGTTGGTATGATTGGTAACATCCCAAATTTGTAACGAACTCCACCATTTGATGCTCTATTCCTGCACTATACCAAACACAGCAAGAGGAACTGAGGCACTAACACCAAAGAAGAAACAGAAAACAGCTAATGATAAGGCAATAAGATAATCCATGTACTTCTGGAAGAGGACATATTTGAACCCCTCGTGCTGAAGCTTTAACTACTATGTTTGAAGCTTCATTTGACACCTGTAGCACAGCCTATGAACTATGCCAGTCAGAACTGTTTTCAAGGCTGACATGCAGCTAGTAGCATACCAGCACTAAGAAGATGGTCTGAAAACTACTAGCAACTATAATAGCTCCAAAAAGAATGGTACTCCCAATACACAGAAACTGGAGATAGCCTGCAAAAGATATCATCACAGACACTTTATCCTAATGATTCCCAAGACCTGTCCCTGCTGCCCTGTGAACATCTTCTCCACTCTCCCTTCCTCCCCTGCTTGACAATCACCTAACAGGAAGAAAAAAGCAAAACAGGCAGAGGTTGACACAGACAACAGCAACCACCACCCCAGGGGAAGAAGGGCCAACAGGACCACCACTGGGGAACGCACCCCTAGGGATGTGACATCGCACCACCGACCCAGGGGACTCGCATTCCACATAACAGGTCCTCTCCCCGCTCTCAGCGAATCATCACCTTCCATGGAAAAAAAAACGTTTCACGCACTCCCTCTTCCAGCCCCGACTCACCTGGGTACCCAAGGCCTTACCAAGGACCCCGTTTAACCGCGGGTGACGCCCCGCTCCGTGCACGACAGCGTCCCTGCGCCAGGTTCGGCCGTCCCGACTTAGCCGCCGGCTCCCCGCCCCTCCCCCCCTTAAAACGGGGCCGGGGGAAGCCGCGGGCCCTCAGGATGACCACCGACCCCCGAGACGGCGGGGAGTCCCCACGCCCGCAGGCGTCCCGCGGCCAATGGCGGCCGCCCGGCCTCCGCAACCGGGGATGAGGAAGCGCCGACCGCGCACTTACAGAAAGTTCTCCATGAAGATCCTGACGATGGAGCCCTCGACGAAGCGGGGGCGCGCCTCCGTACTCCTCACGGCCCGCGCGCTGCCGCCGGCGCCCACATGACGGGGGCCAAGGCTCCATTTCGCCGGCGACGCCACCGCCATCTTTCCCCCCGCCTCAGCCCACCCTCCAACCACCACCGTGAGGACCCGCCCCGCGCCTGGCTCTCATTGGGCGGGTGGGAAACGGCGGGCAGGGGAGTAGCGCGCTCATTGGTTGACGGGGCCGGGACTAGGACGCAGCGAAGCCTTTCATTGGCCTAGGGCGTGCCGCGCTGGTGTCCATTGGCTAGAGGAGCGCAGGGCGGTAACGGCGAGCCGTGAGGGAAGTTATGGTGCTTTCGGTTTCGGTCAATGAGGCGGCTTGCCGGGGTCCCGGTCCTCCGGAGCTGGGGCCGCCTCCCGGCCGGTGCGGAGTGCGAAGAGTTGGGCGCCGAGCCTCCGGAGCTCACCCTTCGGAAGAGGGGCGACCGGCACCGGGGCTCGCCCCTAGTGTGATTCCGGAGGGAGCGGGAGGCGGTTGGGCAGTCCCCGGGGCCGCAGCCCGCGGGCTCCCTTCGGCTGTCACGGCCGGCATCCCTTTCCCCGGCGGCTGGGCGGCGGAACGCGGCCTGGGAGAGCGGTGGTGGCGGCGGCTTTCCCCACAAGGTGGCAGCACAGCCGAGCAGTTGGGCGGCCCGCGCTTCAGAGGTACCCGTCGCCTGCCTTCCTGGGGACAGGCCGGCTCCGCTGGAGGCTTGCTTTCATCTTCCACCACCTGTCTGGGCCTGCTTGCTTGTTCTTAATTTTTAACAAATCACGCGAAAAAAACAAAACAAAAACAAAAACCAACCCGTTGTTTACAGGTGTTACTTCCTGAGAGTATCCAACGATAGGACAAGTGACAACAGCCTGGAACATAGGAAGTTCCAGTATTAAGCAAGAGGACAATGAAAGGGTTTTTCCTCTGATTTCAGGACAAGTTGAGTTCCACTCCAGCACAAAGCTGCATTTAGAGCAATCAAATACAGGGTTGTTAGTGTTTAGGATGTTACAGCGCTTTTGAAGGTTTCTTTTTCATTTCCATTTTATGGACTGTGCCACAAATGGGATCAAAGCAATTACTTGTAGGTTCTCCAATAGCTTTTGAAGAAATGTTCAGACAGTAATCAGGCCCAGTGTTGCAAGTCTCAGAACTGTTGCCCTGCTGTAGCTGTCCCTGTACAGCTACTGCAGCAGTGATAAAGGAACACTAAATAAAAATGGATCCAGGGCAGAAATTAGCTGTACAGGGAATTTCCTATTTGGACAGAGCTGAAGGAATGTTTTTTATCTCCATAAAACTGAAGTTTGCCAGTGGAGAAATCTTAGAACACTTTCCCTAGTTTTCAGATGATTGCAGCCATTCTTTCTCTAGTCTGTGAATTTCCCATTTCACAAACAGGTATTCAGCAGACACTAAAGTAATTTAAATCCACCTTTCAAATTCTCCCTCTGTTCTTTAATTCCTGCAGCAGAAATGGGTGGAAAGGTGCTGTTTCTCCATACTGAAGGAAGAACTTAAGCTTTTTCTTTTTTTTTTTTTTTTTTTTCTGTCAGGACAGTGCTTCACACCCAATAGATAAATACTGCCCTCGGTACTGACAAAATCATTGTACCAATGAGGTCCCTAGAGAATGCCCAGCGAAGAGCAGAATAGAGCACTTTGCCTATGTTCTTGTTCATATCAGTCTAAATCTGATTATTTTGATGGAGTGAAGCAGAGTTGCATAAATTGTTGGAGGCAGGAGTCCAGTAGTTACACTTTGCGCTTCATTTCCTTTACAAAAAAGTCCCATCAGAAGTGTGGAGAGCCATCAAGCCTGATGATTTTAACCACTTCATTTTCACTTGTTTTCTGCTTAGATGATTTGATCTGAATGTTGCTACCAAAGCATAAGCTTTATAGAAGAACTGTAAATCTGTACAGACTCTTAAGAAACACTCTATTGTTTCTGGTTGCTTTCATTTTCAGAATAGCAAGAGTGAGGCATTCAAAACCAGCTGCCAATGGTGACAATCTTCAATTGTTTGTGTCACCAAAATGAAAACTTACTAAAGATGCAAGCGGCTAGATTGTCCCAGGTGCTGTTGATCCTTATACACCATTAGGAAAAAATGTGTACTTTGTTGTGAAAGGAGCAAAGGCTATTCCCACTTTTCAGGGCTCACATTTTGCAGCAACAGCTTGAATGTGGTGGCTTTTAAAAATAATTGTTATGGCTCAACACAGGAACTCCCTGTAGTAGATCAGATTGCTTTCTGTCAGCTGTCGTAGGTGACGTGACACACATTTCATTCTCCTCATATTCAAAATACTGAATTCAGGCCATTACATGAGGTTCAGTTGTTTCCTGTTACACCAATAGCTATAAAGTCTGTAGCAGAGCAATAAGATGCTTTTCAAAGTTACATTTTATTAGGAAGTTATAATAATTTCAAAACAAAACCTTACAAACAAACACATCATCTTAAAAATTAACATGTTGTGTGAATTCAGTTTCCTATTAATATAAATGCAAGGCATCTGTGGTTGGCTAAAGTGTAAGTACATCTCTATGAGTGTACAAACAGATTTATTAAAATATCCCCAAGGCTTGGATGCCAGAAAACATACAGCTTCCAAGGCTTTCATTTAATATAGTTCAAAATGTCAGCAGCTTACACTGAATTATATTGGAACACTAAAAGTGAGTTTGTTATTAGCAATTTGTTATTAACAAATATATTTGTTATAGTAAAAGAATACAAAACCACAAAAAATTGCCAGCAGAGCATTAAGAGTTTCCCAGAGAGATTTGTCATTATGAATAATTGCACTTAACATGTTGGCTATTACTGGTAGCTAATACTATTTTCTTTATTATTTCAAAATATTTATAATTTCCTTAACAAAAAACCATTCTGTACCCAACACAAAACATTCACTGAATGCAGATTTAAGATAGCACAATATTGGATTTTAATTGTGCATCTTTACTTTCCTCTTTTTACCTATATACCAGAAAGGTTTGTGGTTTTTTTTTTTTTTTAAAAAAGGCATTAAAATGAATGATCTGTGCAAAATGGGAAGCCTTTATGTAATAACTGATACCTCATGCAAAAGAGAAAAAATGTATAAAAAAAAGTCTAAGAAGCCCTGAGTCAATAATTTCATTGCAAAGGCAAGGAACATGAGTGCTCTGAGTTCTTCCTATACATTGGTGCATATTCAAACCAGTCCAGTATTTTCTTAAAAGATATTTTCAAATAGACAGTTTGTGCAGTTTCTCACATACAAATCCTCTATGCACATCAATCCTTTCAGCAGACTGTATTTAGTACTCAATTTCGTTTAAGCTGTCAGGATAGCCTGATGAGAATTGAATTTCTTCCACTTCTAGAATACAAAGAAGGGGGAAATACTGTAATTATTTGTATTTTTATCATACATAAGAATGCTTAAGACAGAATGTAATTACCATGCTGGATTTAAATGGGACAGCCATATGGTTTTTCAAAAGTCTTTACTCGCCCAGATTCTGAGGATGGTCTCGCATTTTATTAAAAGAAAAAAGTTCCGCACTAGCCCACCAGCATGGCACTAAATTCAGATCCATTCAGTGAGGATTCAAGGCAAGAAGTATCACATGTCTAATTACAAAAAGCACTGTGAATTGCTAGGTGTCTCCTAAGAGAAACAAAGTATGTTTAAACACTTACCCAAACAGGGTCCTGCCTGGAACAGAATATCATCAATAGCAGTGTCACTTCTTATTGACACACCGCGGATTGCCTCAAAAATAATCTGTAAAGATAAGACACGGCTTCTCATTAATCCCATAGGAGGAAGGACTAAAAAAATAACCACGATGCAGTATGTCTTAAAAGCCAGATTCTTGGAAAGAAACCTCTATTCTCCATCAGCAGGCTGATTGCCCTGGTCAGACAATTTCGGTGTGTGCTATGCCAAAGGAGTCAAATATGTTGTTACAATTTGTTAAGAAATTGCTGTTTGTTACAGACCACTGATAAATTTTCTCTTGTGATGTAGCATTTCTGCCTTGCTTTTCAGCCCAGATGTGTCACTGTGTGTTGCTCATATGCAGCAAGGCTTGAGGGGGGAAAAAAGCATTACAATAGTATGTTGCGGTCTTACTGATGAAGGTGAACTTGCTTTTTGGTAAGAGGTTTCTTTTTTCCTGATTAATTTCTGGGCTCTTAAGACAAAGTGATTAAAAAATCCACACACAACATCTTTGGTTAGTGGCCAGTACAGTTTTGTGCCCAGTGATGTTTCAGTCAATAGCAATTTCAGTTTCCTCTTTGACAGAGAAACTGAAGCAGGATTTGTCTCTGGCAATACTGAAATGCTGGCACGGTTGAAACCAAAGGCAGAGCTCTGGCTTTGCATCATCCCTTGCTTCTGGTAACACTTCAGAAAGACCATCCTGCAACAAGAAGCCACTTTATCACAGCTTAGTGGTTATGTCAAATCTAGACAGGGCTTTAGACAGCTGAAGGAAAAGAAATTGCACAAAGGATCTAAATAAAAACTACCATTACTGACAAGACATGATGGGAAAACTGCATTTAAATACTTTTAAAAAATAATTTTTTATTAATGAATCAGTGAACCATTTTCATACTTGCATCGTATTCATGTCCTTAGTAATTCCCTCCCTACCTTCATTTGTAAGACATTACGCACTACTTCAATTTGTCCAGGTGTCCATTCAATGCTATCTACATTTAAAGATTTTCATTTTTTTTTAGTACAACCTAAACCTTGAATTCTACCACGTAGTTCAGTTCAGTATTGCATTTTCACTGCTTTTTTTTTTTTGTTTTTTCTTACCTGGTAATTTCTATCACTTTCATATTCTATCAGTCCCCTTAGCCATGAGATGCTCTGTTCCCCTGTCCTCCTCCACAAGGGAATCTCTTCTTCATCACCTTCCTTTTTTAGATAAACACTTAATAATCCAGTCCCAGCTCCATACATGTGATAGAAAAATGTCAAGCACTGTTTTCCAGAGGTTCCCCTTAGTGATCTTGAAACTAGGTATGCTCTCTGTCCATAGACCATGTCAGACGCCTCTATATACATA